ACTGGGTGATGACTACAGGTATATGCCCCACTGGGCAGTCTGTGGGTTTCTTCTTCACTTATTTTGGGGGTATTTGTGAGTGAGGGGAGGGGGGAGGTGACGTAGGGGTAAGGGACAAGTGTCTTCTATTTTAATCTAATTTTCTTTGGGGCTCTCATTACAAGCAGTGGTCACATTATTAAAGAAAAGCTTTTGTGAGATCTCTGAAATTGACTACTGGTAATGGGAAGGCCTTCTAAACATGGAAGAAAACCTGTAAAAAAAATGCAGCCAAATAAACTGGTGATTGATGTGGAGAAGGATACTCAATGGTTCTGTGCTACAAGTACTATAGTACTAGTGTATGCAGACTTCAGCTAGGTGTGCGTGTTTACAAACACCAAGCATTCTGCTTGTTGTATTTTTTTCAAACGAGCGTATTGACTTACTATGTAAGTGGGATTCGAACTTGTGATCTCCAAATTTTGAATACCTTTTCAAAATTTTGAATACCTTTTGCATTCCTTCACACTAATGTCTATCCGAAAACTTTGTGCTGGACCTCAGGGGTCGAAAAATTGAGATTTGATAAATTCACTAGGTTGCTTTTGTGAGTGGAACCGGGTCCATCAAATACAGGTTGATCAGGCAAATCACTTTCACAAATTTTGACAGGTCTGTTTTGATCAGGCATTAGCCCTAAATTTGGAGAAATGTTTACCCAGTAAGAGCCTCTTAACCTTGGTCTCAATCAGGCACGAATTTTACCCAGGTAAAGCGCTGGACCCCTGTAACTAAGCCCTTTTACACTACAGCCTCTCAACCCGGGTTGAACTCAACCCTGGGCGAACCCAGTGCTGCCCCGGGTTGAATTTTTATTTTTCAACCCCACGTTCATCCCCGCATTGTTTCACACCTGTTTCATTTAAATCAAGCTTATCATGCTCAGTCACTTCTGTTTTGAACCCTGGCAAGAATTTCAACCCGGGTTGAAATCTTAACCCTAGTCTGGAGCAGGGTTGAGTTCAACACTGGGAGAAATCAATCTCGGGGTTGACTCAGGGTTGACGCAGGGTTGAAATTCTTTGAAACGATGCATGTTTTCAACCCTGCGTCAACCCTACATCCACCCCGAGATTTGTCTAGTGTGAAAAGGGCTATACTAGTCTGATAGTGTTTCCAAAACTTTGAGGTTTGACCAGGGTCCAGACACAGACATTTCGGCTAATGTGACTTGGCCTAAAAAGTTTTGCACCCCCAAAAAATTGACAGTGTGAAGTTATAAATGTGAACACCGCCCTGTAGGTTTGACATTTTGTCAACATACCGGTACATGTAATGCTGTCCAGAATAAAAATTCCTTCGCACTCCGCTGTCAAAAAAATTCCAGCTTTGCTTCGAGCATTTACCGGTATCTGAAATGAACAACACTCCACTTTCACTACACTTGCACAAACTTCCATCATTGTGGAAGTACTCAAGTGTTTGCGCTTAAGCTTACCATGAAAATAGATGCGGGGCAAAATCTGGCCCGGGACCGGACTATTTATAAACCCAAAACAGGGGGACTGGGGGTATTATTATGAAGGCCAGGCCTCCTTTACTCAAGCAAATACTGTTTTTTGTTTGGGGCACTTTGCGAGGATTATCTCCCGAAATCGGTTCCCAATCCCTATGCAGGGCACAATTCGCACATACCTGCTGCGCACTCAAAAATCTCGGTAAGATAACATTCTACCAGCATCTCCTGTGGGTTTAGGACAGTTATATGTTAATAAGCTGAGGGTGTTCTTACACAAGTTGTAAGAATGCGAGTTGTGCACTTGTGAAACAAAAGTTGGAAGCCTTAATTTGTTACCGTTACATTTTAATAAATGCATGATTATTAGGCCAAGTAAAATAAATAAACCAGTTTCTCGTCCACGTCTGCTTCCTTTTTCCCACCCGCCTCCCTTTTTTAAAATTTCTTTACATAACATAAACATTTGAAATATATTTTTCAATTTTTTTCAATACGTCTCTTCATTTGTTTCCAACAAAATTGTAGCTACCGTACGTAAAGAAAGGGTGACAGCTCCTTTGGACCCAATTTTGTGTCAGCAAAAGAGTCTAGAAAATGGAAGAAGCCATCCACCATCTTGGAAAATCCGCCATTTTGGGGGGAAAAAAGGGGCCACCTCCTTCATTATTCAACAAGCTCAGGCTAGAAACTATTTTATTTTTCACTTGGCCTTATGGGGCAGTGAAAATTCATTATACCATGAACATGACGCGCAGTGCATTGTAGAGTGGGTGTTTTCACTTTGTTCTTTTTTTTAACTTAAGAATACTTAAACAAAAGATCAAACAACCCAAGGTTCACTTGTGATATTTGTTTGAAAAAAAATGAAACGTGTACAGTATGTACTCTATTAAAACAACCAACAGAGGTTAACCGAAACTACTGCTTATCAAGTTTTTATTACAAGTACCGGTAGGCCTAAACATTACAGGAGTTTTCAGCAATTCGTGCCGAAGACTCATAAAACCGGTATGATCTGCAGCGCACCGGCACAAATTTAAACACAAAAACGCCAAATTGCAGGGCTTTCCGGGCATAACTCTATTCAAATTTCACAAAAGGAAAATACAAATTCCGTCACCGCCTCATGACCGCGGGGCTAAATGCAAGTTAAGTCAACCTCACCGGCACCATTGTGTGAAAAGAATAAGCCCAAAACACCGCACGGTTCGAGTAAAACATCGTGACCGGTTGGGTAGTGAAACTATTAGGGCTAGCTCTCTTCAACCTTACTAAGGTCAAACCAATTCCTTCTGCGTAACTGCACCCGAAAAGGCCTCCTTAGAATACAATCTTGCCTGGCACATTCCCATTAAATGCACGTCTAAGCCAAGTCAAGTCTCACAAATTTCCCGACAAGACGAGGTTAACATCACTTTTTTGCCGGTTTATTGGAAGGGAGGAATGTTCACCAAAGTGTATGTTAGTTCGCGACATAAAGTCATAACATGACTAGGTTTTCCTAGCTGGACCCAAAAGTCTCGGGGGAGTCAATCAGTCAGTGACTCAGTCAGTCAGTCCTAAAGTTACATATGTCGTTGGGGAGTCAGTCAATCAGTCAACTGAACAGGCTTGCCCATCCAAGTTAGGACCATCTCCTTTTGGAACATGGGTTGAAAATGTTGATATAGCTGGAAAACCAAAAATGCCCATAGTTTTGTTCACATTATCAATGGAGATTTACAGGCTTATTTACATGTGACCAGTAGGCATTTTACCTGATATGTTACTGAACAAAGTAGGTTGCCAACAAAATCTTGGCATAGTGTATGCTGACTGTAGACACCCCCTCAACTGCTTTTTGCTAAGCCATTTTACTAAGTACCGTACTATTTCCCGTTAACTGGAAAATTGCACACCGCCTTAAAGCGGAAAGCTGCAGGTATCCAGTATGTTTCCTTGCATAATCTGGGATCTACCCCGAGCTGTATGGGTCACTCTAACTAAGGGAAGCACCAGTAATACCTCTATATCCACCAACGTATTAGCACCGTCGCGAACGCCAAGTGTGCTATATAATGCCCAACACAAGTCTCCATTTGGATGGTAATCGGTCTGCATTTTCTCAAGTTGGTTTTTCTTCCAAGGCGGGCTACGCTTCATTGCTATACTGCAGGGGGCTTAGAAATGTGTACAACACAGCCATTGTTGTGGTTTGGGACCCAATGCCATTGTCTGACCAGTAAGTGCTTAAAATCCTTCCATTTTTATTTATGGTCCAGCATTCCACTCGGATTAGCCATTACCCTACACATACAGTGTACGTGTACCTCACCACGTACAATTTAGAACCGATGGGCCCTACTTCAAGTTAATTTTAAAAAAAATCAAACTCTATTTCTGGTCCTGTTTTGGAGGACTATTGTAAGTATCCACCATTAAAATCAAAATATCAGTCTCCCAAAGAGTCAACTTTTCTTTACAAAATCTTGTACAATGACTCTCTTAAAGTCTCATTTATGACAAGGACTAAACAAGGACAAAAATCAATATCTTAATCTCTCTTACGGCATCCATTGGCCAGCCTCTAAACAGCTTAACTTCTTTTACAAAATCTCAAGTCATCCGTAGTAAATAGGGACGACAAAATGTCTTGTTCAACGATATAGTTCCACATTGCTATAAAAAAAAAAAACGACACAAACAGAAACTGAAGAAAAAAATTACATCTTCCTTCTTCAGTATGGGATAGGCACATTCTGTCACACTTCTCCAACAAGTGCTCCGAACTGAATTCACTATGAGAAGCAAACAACAGATCTGTTCTTCCATTTGTGGCAACAGACAGCTACTGAACGGTCAGACAAATAAGAGATTTTGATAGGCAACAAGGCAAAAATGCAAAGCAACTAAGCCCAGAAGCTCTGGAGGTGATCAGAATGTAAAACCAGCTGATTTTATGCAACAAAGTTGCCAGACAACACTGAAAGGTTTGTTTCTTTAACAATGTTTCCACATTGCAGTGCACGTGTACAAACTACTGACAAGTATGAGATGGGAGTTTTTGTTTTATTACGATGTGAAAATTTACTTAGCTGAAAATTTACTTGCAAACTGCATTACACTTTACAGTTAGCGTAATAATAACAGCAAATCAATCTTCAATCAAAATATAAAACCATATTTAAGGAAGGCTCACAACTTACATATTCATAGGCTTTTGAATGTTTTTTTTATTGCTTATTCTGTATTCATAATAGTAATACTTTTGCAACGAAGTAGAAAAGTATGAATGTTTAAAATAAACAACTTTTCTAACAAGATCAAAAGTCTGACAATTTGTGCATCGATCGATTGTGTGGCACACCATAAACAGTCAACTACGTTTAAGCATCCATCAAATAAATCATAATATCCTCGAGTCACCATAATCGGATATTTCATACACAACAATCGTGTTTGCAATGATGCCTTTTGCGAAAAGCGACTGGCCATGTGTTGTCTAGCTAGCTATACTCACCCTATACGGAAACCGGGTAGCGATAGCGTCGCGTAGGGGGTGCACCCTACCCGAAGAATGCCGCTCTGATCCCGTAGATAAATCACAGTCAACAGTGCAGCCTCACCGAACACGTAGTCCAAGGAACTCCAGCACGCACGCCGCTGCACAAAACTCGGTGACAATCTGTGCTGAAAATCAGAACTTTAAACTTCTGGAACCTTCCTACTTGGTATCTTGACTTCCTTAGGAAGTAATGGTGAGAAATAGTCCAGATCTGGATTCATGTAAGATTGGCTTTTTGTTGATGCAAAAGATCTGTGACAAGATCATCGGCTCCGGATAACCAAAAAGTTCGAGCAGTGGAAGCGAGTTTACCAATCAATCATCAAACGGATTGGAACGTGTATTTCGTGTACGCTACTGCGTGCGCTTTAGCAATGGGTGCAAAAACAAGATGCATACATGGTATGTATGTACCATGTTACATATATCAGCCTTTGATGTAATTAAGAGGGCGCACTTACGACACACAGAGACCGAAAGTAATAAAGAATGCAAACTATTGATTTTTTTTCTCCTAACGAATTTTCAATTGGTATGTTTGGGTTTTTTTCACAAAAAATAACCTTATTCCGATTTTGGGCGTCTTCAACCCCCTGAAAAAAGGACTTTAACTTTGTGCACAACTGAACCCACCCTGCGAGACTAGAGCCGATTGTTGTCTGGCGGCCAATAATTCGATTGTGAATAAATCATTGAATAACTAAACGTCGGTGGATTTGTTTCGTTCGATGTCTCATTCAAAAGTGAATGACTTTTATATTTTGAGGAAAATATCAATTAAAAAAAAAAAATCTATGTTTCGAGGTGGAACTTGAAAATAGCACGGAGAACCACTTTATATCAACTTCTCTATAACAAAATATAACTTCGAGCGGCTTACACATGACATGAGTCCGGCCGGAGATTGAAATATATTATTTCAACTACCAACAAAATGAAAAGAAACCTGGTCAAATTCACCCATTACAATTAAAAGGGGGGGGGGGGAAGGGGTGTTCCTTCTTTTGTAATGAAAGTGCTAATTGTATGCTTTGGTTAATACGTTTTCTTCAAAAGGGGAAAAAATACAAATGATGATATATTTTTTTAAAACTATACTTCATTAATTAAGCTAACTTCATTGGGTTGGCGGTTGAAAGACTGAACTAGGGATCTCAAGTTGCAAGATTGTTATCTCCGGCGCATTTTGGTTTACCGCAAGAATTAGGTTAGTGACGTTGGTTATAGCGTGTGAACTTGGACGGATCGCGCTAAGAACTCAATAAAGATTCTCTTAATCACTTCCTGCCGCACTCATGAATCCTCCCGGGGAAAAAAAATATCCGTCAAGGATCTCCATGATGTTGCAGCATTCATTTCCTGTTCCGCAATCTCCCCTGGCACCAATCTACTCCCATGAACTCCAGGACAGGACTGCACGGTTTTGGCGTAACTTGGCGAAGCCAGGATTTTCCCGGGGGGGGGGGGGGTTTGCTAAATTCCAAAAGTTTTTCCAGGGGTTGGTGATGATGTCTTGCAGTCAACGCATAAAAAGACCAAGGCCACAATCAGTGAATCGACACTTTTAATACTGAGTAATGACGTTATTCGGAAAATTACAAGGACATTTTGGGATTTTTTTTCTTCAATTCTCTTTTTTAAATTTTTTTTACATCTTTGGACGGGGGTTCAGGTTCATAGGCCTACTAGGTTTTATTATAATCCCGTAAATCATTTGGAAGAAATAAGGTTCATTTTGATTCAGTGAGCCTTCCGTCCATGTTTAAAATTTACCTAATTTTGACCTTAGCGGTAGCCCCAATCATAAAGAACAGTTATTAGAACAGTATTCTAAAACACTAAATAACAAAAACAATGTCGTGTTTTATGCGCGAAAAAGTCAACTTTCATGGAATGAAAACTTTTTCAAACGATAACTCAAGAAATAAGTATTGTAACAAGCTGTTATTGGTCATCATATATATAACACAATTGTACTGAATATCGAGAGAAATTGTTAAATAATTAAAATGATCTATGGCAATGTAATTTGCGCGAAAAAAATACAAGCTGAAATGAAGACAACGTTTATGTTCTTTCAAAAGAGGGCGCGCTACACAAAACGCGGTCACCACCGCGCGTCCAGAAAAAAAAAATGCTTAAAGTTAACGAGTGCGTTGTTTTATTTATTTTTTGTTCAGTAGTTAGGCAGATTTGCAGTATCGGACTTTATGTGGACGATCATCCAAGAAAGGCCTGCTCTAGCTTGCTAGCTACGCCTGGTGGCCTAGGTTCATGCGATCACACCAAAAACACATACAGCACTTGTGTTACGCTTTCGTTTCCAAGTTATATCCCCTTTTCATTGCACTTCCGGTAACACCGGAAGTGAAGGTCAAGCGGTTTTGTGCCCGGGAATAAGAAATATTGCCCAAATCACCATCTACCACCTCACGAAAAATGAACACGATACTTTATTTAATTCAAAAGATGTACATGTAGTTCAAAACTATTTTGTCAATTTTTCTTTTTTTTTTGGCAGGGGGTGATTGATGGGGTTTACCATTTTGAACTCGAGGAAATCTGAAATTTTAAACGAGAAATTGTCCCACAATTTGTCAATAAATGTAACTACGCGATGGGGTTTTACCCACCACAGCAGTTCTGCACACAATTCTACACAACATCACACTACTTGTCACACCAATCTATGTACAAAGTTGCTTTTGTTTTAATTCCATGTATTCAAATTCTTAAACTGTCTACCATTACTTTTTCAAATCTATCCGGCTCAAAACGGGGATAGACATTTGAAGTTTTGATGAATTCAATGATGAGGTATGTATACTATCAATTCATTAATGCCATATTTTGTGTTACCATTTTTTAGATATTTAATTAAAAAATGACCCACATTTTTGCCAATTAGCACAATAAACGATTAAAGTTAAACACTATTTCATACAGGACAAGTTGAACTTAAGGCTTCACTTGTCATTTCACCTCTCTCCCCCCCCCCCCCCCCCCCCCCCCCCCCACGGACAATGAAGTTTATTTATCTTAATATGAAGTAATACCAAATTGATCATATAATAAGAAAAATTGCAGGAAAACCTGCACGATAGCCATGTTCACCTAAGTCCTACTACTCTGAATATCATTTAAATTTTTTCCCCTACAAATGTAGAGATAAAGGTCCTTTTTGTATGCCTTTGTACAATTATTTACATTTTATATGATTACAGATATATGAAGTTGTTTTTTTTTTTTTTTCGATGTTTGAGACTCCTGAACCCTTTCCCCCAGTCTGCCAACATTAATTAAATAATAAATGCCACGTGATTACTTCCTCCAAACGAGATCAGTCGTGGATTCTGTTTTGTTGCTTTTTCCTCCATAAAAAGCAGAGGATTGTCGAGATGGCCAATTCTGGATCATTAAAGAGCACAAGCATTGCAGAAAATTCACTTGAAATAAAGTTCTACTTTGATGACTACATACCGGAGTAAAAAATATTGCCGAAGACTGGCCATAATCTTTTAACTCCCCCCCCCCCAACCCTCAAGAAAAACCTCCCTGACTTTTCTTGACCAGACTTTTGGCAAGGAAAAATGACAATTATTAAAAATAAACTTATGTAAATCAAAACGTTACACATTAAGCACATGGAGGTACTACAAGCTACAAGACATGCACAAGCGACACAGAACAGATGCACATTTAATAAAAATAATCTCGATTCTCCCTTGCATAAACAATTTGTCTTCAAGAATCAATATAACCCCTAAGTCATTTTTGTTCTTTTGTTCAAAGTTCTACTAGTTTTCAAATATTGTTTGTCCTTAAAATCGTTTTGCTTCACTCCTTTCATCTAGACATCTATTCGGTTTGCGGCAGTGTCGTTCCTGAAAGTCTCCCACCAAAATATGAGGCTGTTATCATAGCACCTTCAACAGAGCAAAGCTTTAAATATACCATATGTTGGTCCTTTTTCTGAGACATTTGTGTTTTCCAAAAGCCCCCCCCCCCCCAACACTGCTTATTTCCCCAAGACCACCATAGCATTGCCAAAGCTCGTATAGAATGGAAGAAATAAAATTAAACAAAATACAGAATCAAAACAGACAAGCAACAAAATATTTTGTTCCATTATGACGGACATTTCTGGAAAACAGGACTTCGACAAACTCCCACTGTTATTTACTCCAATGAAAAAAATCCACCAATCAAACTGCAAAGGCTGAATCACATGGTCTCTTACAACCAATCAGATTCATGAGGAATGTATGAATGAATTTTACACCAACTTAAAAACGCCAGTTAATCATATGACCTACCATTTCCGATCAAATAAACGTTTTGACAAAAAAATTAATAGAAGTGGGCAAGTTTCCGAATTTGAACCAAGAGTGGAAACTCCGTTTACAAAAACTTTAACAAAGTCATGTGACTTGCATCATGTGACTTGCATAAAGGATTTAAAACCTAATCACATGATATAGACTGATTGGTCTATACCCTGTCCAATCACAAGCCACGGAGGCCTCAGTAATGGTTACAGCACTTTGCCAGTTATTGTACAAAGCAACTGCTTACTCTGCTCAATAAGCTGGCACAATGCGTCCACCATAACTGGAGGCCAACACAAGTTGTAAAGTGATAAAGTGCCCTGATTGGTCGATACACTGGCCAATCACAAGCCACAGACGAGTCATCATACTCGGAGCTGCTGGGAGACTTGTAAGAGGACCTTGAGTCCGGGCATGAAGGAGCTGATCTCTGAGAAGTACACGCTGGATACCAGTCGCTTGTGGACGGACAGCCCAGTCTGGTAGTCGTAGCCACTGATGCCGGTGGCTATTTCGTGGAGGCCGGCCAAGATCATTGGAGGTAGCTGAAGAAAAAAAAAGAACATTTATTACAAAGCCATTACCACCCTGCCTGTTACTCCCTGTACCGCCCCAAACCTCCCTGCCAGTTAATCCCTGTAATGTCCAAAACCACCCTGCCAGTTAGTCCCTGTAATGTCCCAAACCGCACTGCCTGTTACTCCCTGTACTGCCCAAACCGCCCTACCTGTTACTCCCTGTACTGCCCCAAACCACCCTGCCTGTTACTCCCTGTACCACCCCAAACCACCCTGCCTGTTACTCCCTGTACTGACCCAAACCGCCCTGCCTGTTACTCCCTGTACTGCCCCAGACCTCCCTGCCTGTTACTCCCTGCACTGCCCCAAACCGCCCTGCCAGTTACTCCCTGTAATGTCCCAAATCGCCCTGCCTGTTACTCCCTGTACTGCCCCAAACAACCCTGCCTGTTACTTCCTGTATTGCCCCAAACCTCCCTGGCAGTTAACTCCATGTAATGTTCCAAACCCCCTGCCTGTTACTCCCTGTACTGCCCCAAACCGCCCTGCTTGTTACTCCCTGTACCGCCCCAAACCGCCCTGCTTGTTACTCCCTGTACCGCCCCAAACCACCCTGCCTGTTACTCCCTGTACAGCCCCAAACCGCCCTGCCTGTTACTCCCCGTATTGCCCCAAACCACCCTGCCTGTTAGTCCCTGTAATGTCCCAAACTGACCTAGCACTCTTTCATGGATTCATCAGGGAATAAATATACAATGTAATACAATGTAATACAATGTAATACAATGTGATACAATTTGATACAATGTAATACAATGTAACACAATGTGGTACAGTTGCAGATGGGTCACAAATAGGTGAGTCATCTTAAAAGTCTATGTTGGGAACTTACCGTTCCATCGCGCAGTTTGTCGTAGAGAATGTTCAGTTTCTTGCTCACGTCTTCTAGCTTTCTCTTGATTTGCTGGGGAGGTTGCAAAACAGTATAATATAAAATGAAAAACTGAACATTTTGCGATGTTCTTTTCCCCACAGCTTTAGGACTGCAAGGTACAGCATGGTGAGAAATTTGGAGGAATCGTTGGTTTCATTCCCAACAATGAATAATAACGATAGAATAATGAGAGTGATGTGTTGTCTATGCATTCTGCATCAGCCCTTTAGCCCAAGTACTGCCCCAAACCGACAGGCCTGTCACTCCCTGTACTGCCCAAACCCTCCCAAGCACTGAATGGTTTTCTGGATGCATCAGGTAATCGAATACAATGTGATAAAATGTCGTTCAGGTGCTACTAGGCGAAAGAGTAATTGGTTCACTGTGGATTTGTTTCTATGGAATGTATTTTTTGTAATACAAGGTGAGTAAAAAAAACCCGAAACCCAGATGTCGGGACTATTGTTTTAGTGAAGTTCTGCATGTAGCACTTTCAAAATCTAGGATATGAAAGCCCAATTCATAAGCTTTCTTTTAGTACAAGAATCATTCAAATCACTCGTGTACTTTTCAAGTTACGGAATTTTAAACACAACCACCGTTTTAAAGTTCTGTCCACGGATCACAAGAAGGTAAGTGTTCTTTCAGCAAAACGAAAACAAATCTAGGGATGTGTGTGAATTGTTTTGTTTTGCTGAAAGAACGCAAACCTTTCTTTTGTGATCCGTTGACAGAACTTTAAAATGCTGGTTGTGTTTAAAATTACGTAACATGAAAAGTACATGAGTGATGTAAATGATTCTTGTACTAAAAGGAAGCTTATAAATTGGGCTTTCATATCCTAGATTTTGAAAGTGCTACATGCAGAACTTCACTAAACCAAAAGTCCCGACATTTGGGTTTCGCTTTTTTTGACTCCCTGTATTCAGATAGGGAATGATTGGCTTAACGGTGTTCTACTCACCGGGTGATTCCCGCCGGCTTCCCTGCACCGCCTAGCGAGACCCTCGTAGGTGTCGGCTAAATCCTGGTGCTCTGCCGGTATCGGGCCTTTGGGCACCTCAGGCTCGGCAGCCTAGATGTCAAAGAAAGTGTTACAATACATTTTCAGAAATTTAATCTGTGTTTTTCCCCCAAACTTTGTATCTTTGTTCAAAAGTGTATCAATCAGTGTAATTTCATCGCTGCTGTGCGATGAAATTATGAGTTCTTCAAGGCCACGGTTGATTTGCTTATGAAGTAGGCGACGGAAGAAGCCTCGTATCGTCATATTACTCGTGAGGTATTTTCTCATCATTTCCTCCAACTCGTGGGTCCCTGAGGAGAACACGTGACCTTACTGATGTTGGAAGGTATACTGGAAAAAATGTTTGCAACCTGACGCCACTTTTTTCTTCATATATCATCTCAATGAAGGTCAGTCATTGCAAAAATGATGATAGGACATGAATCTGGGACTGAGTAACATTTCCAATTTTGTTAGGATATTTTCTTGACTCTCTATAGACTTTGTACACAACCTCTGAAGTGGCGTCAGGTTGCAACATTTATTTCCGGTATACTCAAGCTCCAGTCAATATGTGACCATCAGCCCTGAAACTTAAACTCAACATTTGTCCTGTTAGGGCTGTGCATCGGAACCGGGTTCCCGGGTTCCCGATGTCAGTAACCGGTTCCAGACTTTGGGATGAGGGGCCAATTTCACCGCGCTGCTAAGCACAAAATCTGCTAAGCACAAAAAAAGTCTGGCTTATAAAAGCAGGTTACCAGCCAAAACTCCATGTGATGAATATTGCCCGTGATTAGTATTCAGCTGTTGTTTGGTAGAGCATGAAAATCACATGGAGTTTTGGCTGCTAAACTGCTTTTATAAAAGCCAGGCTTTTTTCGTGCTAAGCAATTTTTTTTTGCTTAGCAGGGCCGTGAAATTGGGCCCAGGTAGCAATACCCAATTTGATAAATTACTTGGTAACTTTTCAGACACTGAAAAGTCTTGAATGCCATTTGTGGGGAATTTTCAAAATGAAACCATGGAAAACCAACGTGGATTACACATTTACATGCATTTTAATGCACGACAGATGACGCTCGCAAAAGTTGCAGTTTTAACCGCCAAGCTATAAAGCCCTTCAAACAAATTCCCGAATTTGAATTTTGGGGTTAGGTTTCTTTTACGGGTATCCGCGTTATATTTCACTAGGGTGCCCATTCCTGTACTTTCCGTAAATGCACACTACTGAGTGCTGTAGAACTGGGCAAAAACGGGAGGCATTTATCATCCCGAAAAAAAATCTGATTTTGGATTAAAACCACCACTGCAAAGCTGATATTTTAGTTCAAAGCTTGGCCCTTGCCAAAAACAGCGATTAGTACGGACACCAGACACAAAAGCACACTCAAAAGAGATACAAGACACTCATACCATTGCTACCTTGCATACCCACACAAAAATGCTACAAGCTTTTGATGGACACTCATTGCTGCTAGAGCAATATACCCTTTTTTCCTTTTTTTTGGGACTAAAAACATACTGCAAACTTTTTCCCATAAACAAGCTAGACCATTAGACAAAGGGATACCAAGCTTACAGGGAAGCAAGCAACAGTTAGTCAAACGTTTGTTAGTTACAGCAAAAGGGTTTTGCTGAAAATGCAATTCACAGAGAAAATCAGCACAACAGGGGTCCATTCATAGAGCTGTTTGTCAGAAAATAAACTTGCTAAACACTGATATAACTGATATAGGTTTCACATTTATCGTCCAAAATATTGAATACTTTTATCTACATTAACCCTCCTGTTGTCCGAGCTGTCACAAACAGTCAAAAAAATGCCATGCTTTTTACACAGGCTAGTCACCAACAGATCATATTTCAAGCAAGCACTGTGACTAGTCCAATTCAGTCAACAGACATAAACAGGCAAGGGGTAGGCAAAGCTGGCGTATCAATCACCTACAGTCAAAGCATAGCTGTATCAAGTTACATAAACAGTCACAGCCAGTCAATTCTGCTTTATGTAGGCTGGGAGCTCTTGTTAAAAACAGCAACTTGATTGATTTTGAAGGAAAGGACAACTTCGCACAGATTTGCAAAGGAAGGTTAAGTCAACTGCAGGTTTTTTTTAATACTGTGATCGGCAATACTTTTTTTTCACAATTTAACAGCTCTATAAATGTTGGAATGCTACCACCTGTGCAATGCAATTTTGGCCATTTGAAAAAATGATTCTTGTTTATGATTTCTGACTTTTTTTTTGTAGACATTCTGTTTAGAATGAAACAATTATTTACATTTTTTTTGTAATTTCGATGATAATTTTATATTTTGGGCAATAACTCTTAATTTGTTTTGTAGGTAGATAAAGTAAAAGAAAATCTGCGTGGTATGTGAATTTCCAGTGCCCATCGATGACAAACAAAAATACATTTTCATATGGCCAGTATAGGTTTTTGTTTTGACTACCCGTGGGTTTTGTTAGTGTGCAGGTTTACCTTGGCGTTACGGGTAGCGTATTGTGAGGAAGAGGGTGGTGGTAGCTGTGCATTATGGGAACCACTCGGCAATGGCTGGCTGTTATACATGCCCTGACTGTATACCTGCTGGGGCGGGACCTGGGCGGGGTTGTACACGCCCTCTCCAGCGATCGCGGCCGGCGAGTGGGGCGGGGTCGGGTCCTGGACCCCGCCCACAATCGGCGCCATGATGGGCTCGGGGGCGGCAAATTTTGGCTGCTCCTGTTTTGTCCACAAAAAAAAAATCACACTTTTTAAACATTGTTTTCTTTCAGAACATATTATTCAAGGGTTCAAACTCATTGTAGAAGCGAACACGATTCAAAACATGTGATTTCATGGCAATTTTTTTTTGCATTTCGAATTTGCAATAGTTGTATAATTAGTATCTGCCAGAATGTATATGCTTGGGATAAATTCAATCGTACTAAACTGAATTGAAAGTCAACAAAGTTTTACAAAGGAAGTTTCCTGTGCTACCTTTGGTCTAATGAGAGGAGGGTCATTCCAGGCTCCTACGACCGCCTTAGGCTTCATGGCCGCCGGGGTGCTTGACTGGTATCCTGCAGTCGGTGCGGATGACGCTGGCTGCTGTCGCTGCGGGTAACCAGCCAAACCCGGTGTCCTCTGCTGGGGTACAGATGGTGTGGACGTCGGTCCGGTTTGTTTCATGTAGTCGGCCGGGTTGTACATGCTGGGGTTGGGGTGCGCGTGCCGCTGATCCTGCTGCAGTTGTTCCTGTGTGGGCTCATGGTGGTAATACTGCTGCATGCTGGCCTGCTGGTAGTGCGGGTACTGCCTGGGGCCGCTCACGTTGGCGTGCAGGTCGCCGCTGGGCTGGCGCTGCCGTGCGGTCTGGGCGTCCCCTGCCGCCGCTGGTTGAGTTGGCACTTGCTGCGGTTGCCGTTGCTGTTGGGCTGGCTGTCCGTAGCCGTAATTGGACGACTGGGCCGTGGCGCTGACTTGGGAAGTGTAGTACTGGCTGCTGGATACGGTTGTGGTTTTGAACGGGTCCACGACATTGCCCTGTGTGGAAATTAAAGAAGGTGACTTCATTTGTCCATCTGAGATCAAATTAAAACTGTCCACAGATTTTAACTCTCACTATATTACTGCTGCTAAACCTGTTTACATTTTTATGCACAGGAATGCTAAGCTATTTCTCTAATAAGCAAATTACCACCTTTCTAATCAATCCATTTGGATTTTTTTCTGATAATTTTTTTTTAAAACATCCTCAAATGCTGTCTGGCAAACAAAAAATATCCTAAAGAGACAGTTTTGCAAAGTCGGAGAAAGGACTTTTTCGCCTCACCCTGCTGAATGGAGACTTCCCAGCCTGCTGCGTCGCCGCCGATTGCCTCGTGGGTGCCACACCCACGGCGGCGCTCCTCTGCGACCCGGCCACGGCGGCCACTCCCTGGGCCCGGTACAACCGATCCCGGAGCTCCTGTATCTTGGGCTGGGCGGAGTCCCCCAGGTAGCTGGTGGCCGAGGCCAGGTTGCCCTGGGCCGCCAGGAGCTGGGCGTAGCTGGTCAGCTTCTCGGCGAGGACCGGGGAGGTGATTTCGGTGCCGTTGCCCGTCTTGAGCTGCAGGGCCTTGCGCAGGATCATCACCTTCTCGACAAGGTCCTGGAGTTTGGAGAAATGAAAATAGAAAGTCAAGTATGTGGCTGAAAGGAACTGTGCTATTTTGCTTATCATAGGAAGTAGCAGCATGAAGATGGTAGACAAAAAGGGGGGGGGGGGGGGGGGGGGTGGACACTACAAGGCAAGGGGGGCGGGAGAGAGATCACAAGGACAAGGTTACCGAGTGGGGAATGTGGAGGACAAAATGACCCTTGTTCCCACAGTGCCAAGGACTAAGCATCTAGTGTTTGGAGCTTGCGCGGCAGATTTTACCAATTTCTGTGGCTGTCCACAGCCACAAAAGTACAGCAGTGTTTTATCCGATTCACCTGATATTTCTACCAAGAGTTTTTCCACTCAAGATAGTCAGCAAACTTGGGAAAACGGCAACCAAACATAATTCATTCTGAGGTAGATTTTGTTATCAGAGTGCTGCAGTAACCATGCAATCATCAACAAAATGCACGTAACAGTGGTGGGATTGGGGAAAAATTGGGGGGGAAAAAATGCCAAAAAAAATCCACGAGATATTCGGCAGAGGTTTTGAAAGTCACTTGCGCAAAGCAATGAAGGGTCTATGGTATATGTTAGTATTTGCCTAAAGGAACATCGTCAATTTATAAAAAATCCGGAAAGCAGAAAAAAATCCCAGTCCAAAAAATCCTAAATTTGGAAAAAATTCTTCACAAATATCACTTAAGACATAATTATTGAAAGGGATATGTACAACTGGACATCGGAATCCTACATTACTGAATGTTCTCTTAGCTAAATGCTCACAAATTCCACTTTGGGCAACGTTACTTTCGTAGGTAATATAAATCAACGGTTACCTGCAGTTGTAGCGGGGTGTTTGCAGTGTGCGTCATCTTGGCCCAGCAGGCTACCAGTTTATCCACGTTGCCTGAGCAGATGTAACACAGGCAGGCTTCAGCCGACAGATCGCTGGATTCCTCCGACTCGAGCCGACCGGCTAAGGCATCTGAAGTAGGACAAAAATAAACCGTTCAAATTCCTGTTACTTGAATTTCCAGTAACTCTTAAAGCTATAGTCCATCATTTGTAATTTGTGCATTTTGTTCGTTTGAAGCAACAAAAGGGTTCAAAATCTAATGAAGGATACCGAACAACTAACCTGATGAAGTTTCAGCTAAGCTTCAGCTGTACATATCGAGAAAAACAGCATTCTAAGATCTCAGTTTCAAATCAAAAGTTACTGAATCATGTTTTGAATTGTTTTGAATTGCAGCTATACGCGACGTAGCGCACTGATCAGACGAATTATAACAACCGCGCGCACGTGTGCGTCGTTCCAATACTTGTGCGCGCTGCGCTGAATAACAAAACGAACTACTAATTTAAATTTTCCTACGGTGCTTCTTAAGAATCACCGTTGGAAATGCCTTCTTTCGTTGATTACTTCAAAATGACAGCTTCCCAGAAGGAATAATTTCACAGGGAGTTTAGTTCCCTTACTATCTTTCAACCAAGTTTGTTTTTCAACAATAATTACGCCAGTTACTTTTCGGATGGCTGCAAATGATGGACTACAGCTTTAACCCCACTTCACATATGTGAGGCGTTCTGGCAAAATGAACAGAACTGGGCAGAGGTCGAAATGGGGGTTTGCAGATATTGGGAAAAAGAATACAATTCTCCTTAAAAATACTGTTTGTTCCACTTCAATCGGACATTCTGTTGACAAGTTATGGCTGTTTAAAGTTTGCACTGATCATGTCCAAAAAGTACAATACCGAGAGAAAAAGGCCCTTAAAGTTTCAACGGTTTTGTAGTCGTGAAAATGAAAGATGCCAATTGTTTCTCCTCATAAACACTTTTATTCCACGATTTTAATACTATTTCTTTAAAATATTGTGACGTAGACATATCAAATGTCAATAAATCTGAAATCAAAAAACAAAATCACCTCCAATTGAGTTGTTGCATTATTTCTCTCTTATAGCCTATGCCCAGTTCCGTCTCATTTGTGCCAAATGCCTCAAATATTCAGTCTAAGTCAACTCTCAAGCTTCTACGAAAAGAAGTCAGTGGTTTTAAACTCCCAAGAAACTTGAGAAGTGTCTTGCGATTTTCCTTGTGATTGACTTAACCATTTTAAGCCTGGCATATTGTGACAGTGACCACACCCAGGCGCAGGATCGTTTTCACGAACCTCGATGCACGACGGGTTCAGGCCATGATCTGTGGGTAGCACACCCCGATTTCTCAGGCCTCGCTTGCTGCAAGCGGGTCACCGACAGATATTTCTGGCCTCGGTTGTTGCGTGTTTATCAGTCATCCGATCTGAATTTTGGAAAACTTTTACGTGTATGCACGTCCTCCGGCACGAACTGGTAATAATAACAACTCTGGGCTCATATGAAGTGTGAGCTTACCGCATAAAGTTGTGAACTGACTAGCCGATGCGTACGTCAGCAGGGCCGTTAGCGTCTCCTTCCAGTTGTTGAGATCGCAGCATTCCACGATGTCGGTGAGATCCTTGGTCACTACTGACGATATCAGCTAACAGATTAAAAAATTTAGAATTTCATTATGTAACAAATGTTCTTTCCATTAAAATGAAACTTATACTATCACCATTCTGAGCTAAGAGTCCTGCCGAAAATTTTTGTGCAAACTCAGTAAGCACAGATCTATAGTTGAGGGATGTACGCATGCCCATAAGCCAATATTCCTCGCTAACCTGTGAAATATGTTAACAGTAAGCACAGATTTTCTGCTACAGTACGTAGGGATTTTTTTCGCTAACAGTAAGCAGAGCCATGAAATCAGTTTACGTTGACCAACTGTGTCAGAAATTCTGCCAAAGTTTTTCGTTCCTCACCCTTGATATGTTGCACTTGACTTTCTTGAAGTACCTGCGCTGCGTTTTGCTGAGGAGTTCGGGCCCGCCAGCGATGGCCAACAGGATGGCGTCGGCAAGCCGGTCGTTGTGGAGACACATCTCGACCGCAGCCTCAAAGTTTCCTGTCAGGACCGCTTGGCTGATTAGGCCATCAATGTCTGGACAAAGAAGGAAAAATTGAGGAAAATTTTGTACCAAATCCTCCACATTTTGTCAAATTCTCCAAAGTTCTCCACATTCCTTGTCAAATTCTCCATAAAATTTCAAATGTGCTCATCACCTAAAGGGGAGAATGTGAAATTAAACAAGGAGGTGATAAGAGGTTTACCTCAAGATTTAAAGAAGTTTTACAAGGTTTAAAAATGTTTTACAAGGTTTTTGAGAGGTTTAACTAGGTTTTAAGAGGTTAGTTTGAGTTTTTAACAGGTTTGCAAGGTTAACGAGGTTCGATGAGGTTTACAATGTTTTATGAGGTTGATGATGATTTATGAGGTTTACAAGGTTTTGCAAGGTTTCAAGAGGAGCTACAAAGGATTCAACCTCCATTCGGCAGGGCTCTTAGTTCAGCGACATTGGATTTTGTTGCATTTATTATTGTTGCACAAAGAAAAGTTAAGGGTTACATTTAATTTTCGAGTATTTTTGCCAGAACCCCAAAATAAGGCTCTGGAACTAAATAAATGGATAGAGCTTAACCAAATGAAAAAAAAAGGAGAAACAGTACATATTGGAAGATTTGTCAAAGTTTTTAACAAACTTACCATCCTTTTTGGAGATGGTAAATGGTGAAGCTGATCTAGTATCTGTGTCAGGTTGGTTTTCCACCTCCACTGGTCCGCCGGCTGCTATCGCATCGAAGGCTGCTGCACCGTCAGAATCTCCTAGCGTATCGCTTGGAGTCTGCGTAGAGCGATCATGGAAATGTTTAAAGACCAACGAAACTTTGACCAAACTGGAAACCGACACTAAACTCCATAGACTATTTTAAGCTTGGACACTGTAGAGAAATCAGATTTTCTAAAAAAAAAAAAATAAAAAAAAATTGGAGCGGGGAGGGGGGTGTGGGGGATGATCATGCTTGATGACCAAGGCTAAATAGAAGGCATTTAAATTTTTGAGCGAAGGTACACGCAACTGTTTGGTGCAAAATTCAAATTTTTCCTTAAACTGACAAAAAAACTGGAATTTCTCAGTTTTTACTTGTCTAAAAGATTATAGAAAGCTTGACTCCGAAATCACATAATTAAAGATAAAAGAGCAAAATCTAATACCACTTTTGACATTGTGACTCAGTACCTTTAACAAAAATTTCTGTCAGTTGGATCCAATTTTATTAATTGCAGGACATCAGAATCTCAAAAAGTACAACAGAAAAACCGACCAAAAACAGACCAGTTTTGAATACAGGTAACAGTCCCGACTCCTCCAATTTTTAATATGATTTTTCACACCCCCTAAGAAGTTAGGGTTGATATCTTCTAGCTATCGCCTCACATCAAACAAGAGTCAGCCCGTTCCCGTGACCCATGACCCCAACTCACCTTTGACCCCACAGCAGGCGACCCCGTGCCGCTTCCAAGCGTAGCCTCCGACCCTGACAACCCTCCGTCCAGGTTCTGCATCCGCTCGGCCAGTTCCTCGGCGTTCACGGCGCCGGGCATGCCGTTGGTCAGTCCGGCGCTGGGGGCGCTGGTCGCTACTGCAACCTTGCGTAGAAGCTCGTTGGAGTCAAAGCCGAGGAGGGACACGAAATGCGGCCTAGGGTCCTTCTCAAAATTGACCTGGGAAGAGAATTTTACATTTTTGAAACGAGATCAGGCATCAGTGATATACATTTTCTGTAGGAGTGTTTTCTTTCTTTCTTACTTTTTTCCTAACCTCACACTTCCCTTCCTGACAAGCAAAAAAGTCCTAGAAGAACAGAAAACTCAGTCGAGTAAAATGACTCCCACCTTGAGGAATTTCCAGATCTGTGACTCCATCTCGTCCTTGGTCTGCGTGATCTTGGCGCTGCAGAACTCCAGGAAGTTCCCCTTGGCCAGTGCCTCCTCCAGAGCGTTGGAGCGGTTGACCAGCTCCGTTTCCGTGACGACCTGGCTGATGCAGACCTGATTGGAAGGCTGCTGCTTGGAGGACTGGAAGGACACCAGTTTCCCGCCAAACTGAAACAAAACGAGTTTGAAAAGAGATTTGTAGCTTTACGTGATGGAGATCACGAGAAAAGTTTGCGGATAGACTATGTGGAACAACTAATTCTACAAGAAATATTATTAGAAGGGTCTTAGAATGTGGACTCCCTGCGCAAGTACGCCCTCAACGATAAATAAAGGAGAGTTGGGGAGACTATTTGGACAGACATTCGAACGCATCGTCGACGACGCCTGATCACGCGAAGACACTATGACTTTGTGCACAATCAGAGTAAAATTAGTCATGTGTACTTCACGGTATAAAAGCGCGAACCAGTACGCGCACGCCATGTGTTTCGTCCACTGGGCTATCAAAAGGGGTAAAGCGCCCTCTCTTGTTCGCACACGAAGCCCATTGGGGCATTGGGGTGGTACAGCTAGTATTCATTCAGGGCACCGCGCAATCTAATCAGTTATACAAAACTGCATCAAGTCTCAAAAGTAAAAAAAAAAAAAAAATGGCCGTTCTCCACTGGTTGTCATTTCCCCAGTTAACAAAAATCCTGAGGTGTCTTACCCCAAAGGTTGCCCCCACTGGTCTACGCAGCCACTTGGGTGGTTTCTTGAGGAAAATGGGCTCAGTTGTGGGCTGCGTCTGCTGCTGAAGCTGCTGGTTGAAACCGGCAGTTCCTGGGAAAGAAGACGCAATCTGAAAGAAAAAAATTAAACAAATTGCACGATGGTACTTCAAAGTTGAAGATTTGCAGTTGTCATGGAGGTGCCAAGTACAGAAATGTTCTAAGCTCCAAATATAATTGCTTAGCAAAAACAGGATACCAGTCAAAATGTCATGGAATTTATATCGCGTGAGACCGGTGACTAAAATTTTGTAAGCATGAAAAATATTAGCTGGGCAAAACCAGGATACCAGCTAAAATGTCATGGGATTTATATCACAGGAGACCGGTGTCTGAAATTTTGTAAGCACAAAAAAATATTTGCTTAGCAAAAACAGGATACCAGCAAAAAACGTCACGGGATTTTATATCACGTGAGACCGGTGACTGAAATTTTGTTAGCATGAAAAATATTTGCTTAGCAAAAACAGGATGAAAGCCAAAATAACATGGGATATATATCACGTGAGACCGGTGACAGAAATTTTCTAAGCATAAAAAAATATATGCTTAGCAAAAACAAGGTACCAGCCAAAATGTCATGGGATTTATATCACGTGTGACTGGTTCCCCTCTCACGCTTGCTTGATGCAAATTTGCTCAGAAGCATACTCTGCGCAATGATATCGGGCTTAGGTAATAAATAAGTTTTTACCTTGTCTGCTTGTCGTTGCTGTAACTGCTCGTCGCCTTTCTGACCGCCCATCAGGGAGTAGAAGGTCACGCGGCCGTCAAAGGAAGAGCTGGCGATAACGGCCGGGTTGCGCGGACACCACTGGACGTCGAAACTCCACTGCGATGAGGTGGGCAACTCGTAGACCACCTCCCCGCCCTGGACTGAGCTGTTGGGGTTCCAGCAGAGGATGCGGTTGTCTTTGGCACAGCTGAGTAAGAGATCAGGGTCCTGGGGGCACCAGGCTATGGAGAGTACTCCCCTGGAAAAAGAACGGCCAAAACAAGATCAACGTTTATTTTTCCAATTGAAAAAAAGTACTAGATAGTACTCTCCTGGAAATATAACAGCCCAACCAAATCAGATTGTATTTTGACCTTAAACAAAAAGTCAATTGCATGTACTCCCTGTGGAAAAATAACAGCCACATTAAATGAAATACAGAAGAGCATTGTTATTAACGGAAACTTTGCTGTAAACTAAACTAAAACTCTATAAAAATTCTGCTATTAAAAACCATTGAATTAATGACCAGAAATAGAAATGTTCTCACCTTTGGTGATTTTCTAGGACTTTGAGTGGCGACGTTGCAAACCTGAGATCCCAGATCTGGACCACTGGTGAATGGTCGTCTTCGGAGGCCAAGGCCATCTGTGTCGCAACCTCTGGGTGCCAGGCTACCGCCTTGCACTGAATCTATGGCATGAGCAGATGAGTTAAATGCAAGATATGTAAGTTTTGGAAGTGAGGTAGCCTGGCCACCATACACCTATTCAGAATGTTTGTAAATGTTTGAACTTAGTCACAAGAGAGTATTTCCAAGCCTTGTAAGGCTGTGCTAAATATTTGGATATATTCAATCGATTGTTCCATATTCTAATTTATTTCATTCATGAATATTCAGAAAATGAAAAGGAACTGATCAATTTTCTTGATACCCGAGTTTTATTTCTGATTTTGCTTTATTTGCTGAAAAGAAATTTGAATCTTTGCGCACTAAATTATTCATATTGAAAGCGGCCATCACCAAGATGAACAAAACAATTGATAAGAGCTTTAATAAGAGGTCAAATCAGAAAATAAATTGACCGGGTGAATTTTAAAAACTTTTCAAAGAGACTGAGGGAAGACGGTTAAAAAATCTCACCCTTGCACTGTGGTCTGTGACTTTGATGATAGGCTCGTTCTTACGCAGGTCCCAAACCACACAGCGCCCTCCTGGGTTGGTGGATGCCAGGATGTGCTGGACCTGCCGGTTCCATGCGACGCAGCTGATCTCGTCTGTCGGCTGTCGGGGATAACAAGACAAGGCAAGCCTGGTAAAGCTGGTCTCAAAGTGCACAAAATTTGCGTTATATCTTGAATTTGCTCTGTGGAGGGTAAACTACTGCCTCAATCCTTCAAAATCCTCCAACAATCACTGTTAAAGGCATATAGGATCATTTGCATTTATCCCACAAGTAACCTATCAAATTATTATCAAAAAGCTTACTTGATTAAAGATCATACTGGTACTAACATTTATCAATCTGGCTTGCTGTCATTAAGAAGAGGTCAAGAAATGTAGGTGATTTCCAATGATCAGTCAATTGACTGTTTTTTGGAAAAACAAGAGTGCTATCGACAAAATGGTGCTTCATGATCAAAAGGTTGTGCTTAGTTTTCCACAGTTTTCTTGAAAAGTGTAATATCCACTGAGCTGAAACTTCAACAGGTAAGATTTTGAACAGTCTTCTTTGGATTTTGATTGTTGTTATCGGAAACGAACAAATGCATGAAAAGCAAATGATTCTATACGCCTAAAGCAGCATGAATGATAGCCAGTATAATCTAGGCCTAAATTATGCATGGCTAAGCACAAACAACTCCAGGTACAGCTCAAGACATTGACACAATGCATCCTCCCAAATCAACAAGCACCCAACAGGCACACAGCCCCAATCCTCCAAAATCCTCCGAAAGCGTCTAGTTGATATTAGAGGATTGAGGAAGGTTAGGGTTTAATTATTGCACTTACCACCGATTTTGCTCCGGGGGTCATGGGGGTGGCTAGGTTGTTCAGATCCCAGATGTAGATCTCGGATTCGCTGGCTCCCGACGCCAGCAGGTTGGGTTGAAAGGGGTTAAAGTCCAAGGCTTTCACTGCGCCCGTGTGCTGTGGGAAGAACAAATAGACAACCTTGATAATGGTAAGGTTGTTGGCACTCTGCCATGTGGGAATCGTAGACAGCGAACGTCTCTTCATCATTTTCTCTCTACAGGTTTCTTCAGGTTTGCGAGCTACAATGCTATTTTTGATGAATGCTTAGTTTCAACAGTCCGAGTATCACCCGTTGTCTAACGAGCCGCCTCCGTAACCAACGTCCGAAGAAACTTGGAAGAAACAAAATACGAGGAAACTCCGATCTTCACAAGACTTTTTACAGTGTTTTTCATTTTTAATGGCATCAGTGTGAAGTGAAAAACGAGGAAATCAGCTGATCCGAGGAAAAGTTCCATGCCTGATGTATGTGAGCAAAGCAAATTTTATGCGACCCCCTGTGCGCCAGCCAATTGTAGTCGGCTTTAGAAATTGTGACGTCGTTTCAACCAGAAATATGGACGAAGCTGTTGATTGGCCCATTTGGATGCCATGTTTTTGTAACACAACAGTGGGTTACAGAAGACGTGGAATGTTCCCGATGAATTGTTAGAATCTCGAGGTCAAGACGCAGTCTTGTTTTGCATAATTAATCGCCGAATCTGCTCGCATATCATAGACCCTTGCTGTGCAAGAGAATATTCCAAAGACAAGGTTTCAATACCAGAAATGAATAATAACGGAAAAAAAGTTGCAACCTGACGCCATTTTTTTCTTCATATATCATCTCAATGAAGGTCATTCATTGCAAAAATGATGATAAGACATGAATCTGGGACTGAGAAGCATTTCCAATTTTGTTAGGAAATACTTAAAACATTTTCTTGACTCTCCATAGACTTTGTATACAATCGCGGAAGTGGCGTCAAGTTGCAACATTTTTTCCATAATAACAATAATAACTAACCTTCTCTATCTGTGTTATCGAGGCCTCTGCATTCTCAAGCAGCTTAGCTGCATCGTAGATGTGAATCACGCCGTTGTCTGTCCCGCCTACTATCACTCCGTTCTGCCTGGTGTTGTTGCTCATGCCGTACTTTCCCCACACCACCTTGTGAAATCTGAAGAAAAAAATAAGAGAAAATGACGAGTTAATGGGCTCAAACTCAATTGTAGTACCAGTATAAATAATGAAATAATATGAGATTTTGAGCTACACAGGGCAAGCCATGTCTTGTTCTATCATGTGTGTTAGGCCGAAACCAAAGCGTCGTCTTAACTTTAGTTGGGACCATTGCTACAATTAGGGCCTAATGTGTTCCCCATGAGACAAATCGGTGTCCCAACTAAAGTTACAGGCATGTAACTGGCAATTTAGAACAAAAAACGAGGAAATTCCAAACCGCACAAGACTTTGTACAGTGATTTCCAATTTGTATTGGCATTCATGAGAAGTAAAAAACGAGGAAATCAGTAGATCCGAGGAAAAGTTGCATGCCTGCAGTTATGATCTTCCCTACTACAATTAAGGAATTCCCAAACTATTGTTGAGATTACTGTCCAGACTGTAGTTGGGCTAGACTGCTATACTTGGGCCGTAACTTCCATCCTGTCCTTACAACTGTTTTTTATGAGTTTTTTTTTGTTACCTGTGTTCGGTATTGAGCGTGGACTTCAGTTGCATGTCCACTGACGGATCGGTCAGGTCCAGGGCGTAGATCTCCAACGCTGCGCTGGTACTGAACGTAGCATCCAGCTGTTGGGCTGCCGTACCCGCAGCGACGTAGACAGGGTACTGCTCCGCTGGACTCCACGCTATGTTGGCCGTCCGACTGATTTCCTTCACCTTCATGATGACGACTCTGCTGACAAAATCAGGATTAAAGAAAAACTTAAATGAGTTGCGTGCGACTTAAAATCACAAAAATTGCCCCCGCTTCACATAAATTCTACATGAAGGTAGGCCTAATCCTCGTAACTTACCCTGTAAAAAAAACCCCAAAAATCATGTTTCATATTTACGTGGTAGGTGGCTAGGCCTAAGTAACAAACAATCATGAAGAAGTAAACATAGGTCATGTAGGTTGCAAAATCAGCAGCCGACCTTCGGATTGGCCCTATTTTTAATTCAGAGAAAAAAGAATTTTGAAATATCAACTATTCTGATTGTAGGAAGATCATTTTTGATATCAAATTTGTCAACATGGTCAACATGGTCAAGAAAAAAATGAGCAAATCTTTGAATTTTACAAATACAATATCATTTTCTTTAATTCCAATTGTGACTTTGACCATGGAGGAAGGAACTCTATCCTCATATTTACTAGAACCGGAATCAGAATGGATGTCAACATGGATGAACTTTGCAAATTGCATTGGCCCGTCATGCCCGTAGCACACGCACAACGCACTAACCCCGAAGTCCCATTGAAATAACGTTGTGCTACACCTGGCGAAGTTTCCGACGAAATAAGACCAACATACTCACCTTTCAAAAACACACTAACGCCACAAATCAATCGAGTCGACCAAAACCACCGCCACCAGAAAGTGTGATGGTTCCAAAATCTATTAACTCTTTCACGATCTGAAAATCTTTAAGGTAAAAATCGGACAATTTATGATGGATTTGTGCCCAGACGATGACATCAACGTGGCATGAGCGGCCTTCCCACAATGCAGAGCGCCACCGAGTTTGCGCATGCGTAAGACACGTGGATCGATTAAAGGTACAATCTCATCTAGACATATACGCATACACGGTATACGCTGGACGAAATCTGTGATGCACATATCCATTGCCATTATGGGGTAACCCTATACAATAGCACTGCCCGGCTATCAAGTGACGGTCGAGTGAGTCAGTCAGTGAGTCAGTCAGAAAAGTAAAACTGGATCCTAGGCTGGCCCTCTGAGACCAGCCCCCCCCCCCCAAATAATCAAAATAAAAACGAGCTTAAGGGGAAGGGACTAATGGGGTAGCTCTGGAGGGGGGGGGGGGATGCGCGCGCGATTCTTTTGCTAATCAAGCAAAATCGTGTATAAGATTCGATGAAATATACTCACATTACAATCTTGGCAATGCCCAAGGGAAATGAGGTACTCGGTTTTAAAGTAATGTGACCAACAACATGCTGAGTATTTCATTTTCAATAAAATTAAAGTTTCATTTTTATTATTTATTTATTATTATTATTATTATTATTAATGGTTTATTATATTAAACTTTCACGGCCATAAGGCCGAATTGCAGTTTAATTTACACACATTAAAAATCGTTATATATTAAAATTACAGAGAATTACATCGTGTAAAAGATACATTAAAAAGGTAAATCACAACAAAATACACACAAGTAATAAAAATTAAAATCATTCAAATCCGACTGCGTAAAATACGCAGTCGCAGTCCCCCCACAGAGATGGCCGTCATTGAGTGAGCTCTATACGTTCATGAATACCCAACCCACTACATGTAATAAGTTAACCAGAAACTGTGACCAACAACAAGTTCCTTCATCAACTCAGGAAAAAGAGATCACCGATCCTTGTTAATCAGAGGGAATAGAGCTACATTTGTACCTGTTAGTCCTGCAGCGTATTGTGCTGAGATGATCATTGTTCCTTACACCATTGTTCCTAATCGGGGGGCAGCCAGTCTCTGAATTTGTGGGAAGTGACACCATTAATTTACACCATTATTCATTGGATAAGTTATCAACATACAAGTAATCCTTTTTCAATTTTGAGAGCTGTTTTCAACAGATCACAAGAGTAACATTTATAAGGCCAACTTCATAATTTGGTACAACTTCGCCCATCCAGGGGAGATTTAAAAAAAGAAGAATGAAACTGCATTATAATGCAAACTGCAGTTTCAAAAGGCAATTACATGATTGTATAATGCTTAAAATTCAATATTTCAATTTAAAGAAAAACGTTTACTTGTTAAAGTTATTAGAAATATAGACATAAGTACAATCATTGAAAACAGTAAACCACTGTTTTTAAGTATAGCAGTCAATTTATGACAATATAAAGCATTCAAAGTAACTTGGACTTTTTTTTAACATTAATGTTACATTCTTTGGCTTCATTAAGTATTTCAATTTAGTGGTGGATCTAGAACCGTCTGAGGAAATGACAAGTATTCTTTACGAATGGTATGATTGGTTTGCGTGTAATTTCTCAGTACTGGGCAGTTTCGTAAATTCCAGTTCATTTTGTACGTCCGACCACAGATACTGGAATTTGTATCCTCATGGAGACATTTCTTTGTTCTCGTGTACTAAAGTTTTCGAGTTTGAGAGTACAGTTTCAAAATGATCCTATTTCAACCAGAGTATTTCCTGGGCTAAAATATCGGACTTAATATCACTTACATAAAATACTTCAACTTGCGACGGATCAACCCATCTTGGGAATTCCTAGTTTTTGAGTGAAATCCATTTATCTATTTCGTGACTAACTTTGTGTATTTATCTATAGAAATTGCCTTGCGAAGACGTATACAATCTTATCCAGAGGGTACCGTGTATTAGATCTAGTGAGTTTGTTTCTTTTCATAGGGTGGAGCTTGTTTCTGCATTCAATAGGGGACGTTGAACAATAGAGGACAACATGGTCCCCAATGTGATATGTGATACATTACTATAATAGGCATCTAATGAAAAGAAAACAATTACAGGCCAAACAAATGTACTACCACCTTGACGACCTTGTAAAATCAAGTGCAGCTGAGAATGTAACAAAGATATGTGGCTCTTCGTGAAAACGAAAATCTCAGTTGACCTACTTTTACGCGTTTCCGTGCAACGGATTTTGTACACGGTCATATAATATAAGGGGCCAAAATGTATGTGGCTCTTTGTGAAAACGCAAAATGCTATTATCAAGATTTATTCCCCTTGCATCATTAATGTAATTTGAAAATTAATGATGTTTTGCTTACAGAAACATGTCAAAATGGTCAATCACAATGTTTTAAAGCAAAATAGTGAAAACAAATCGTCATCGAAAAAAACCAGTAATTTTTGACATTAAGTGGCTCTTCGTGAAACGGTGACGAATTAAACATTCCAAAAACCATCTCAGATCCCTGGGGAGTATACAGCTTGATGCTGTCTGCTATAGGCGCTAGGAATCTAATTCAAATTACAATTACCATCTCTGCCCTCACACTTATACCCATTTACTCTATGGTGGAGAGAAGCAATGAGTGTCAGAATACCTTGCCGAAGAGCACACGCACCATGTCCCCCGGCTGGACTTGAACCCACAACCCGCATTATTACCCGCAGACCACGAATTCAATGCCACGAGTCTATTTTCAAAATAGCTTTTCAAATGCCACAGACTAATATTCATAGTTTTTTCTTTTTGTTACTTTTTGTGTGAATGAGGTTCCAGACATGATCAGCAGTAATAAAACAGTTTTTGTTCTTGGGTCGGGAGCCAAAACAGGGTCGGTTGGAATTATCAAAGAAATAAAAATTGATGCCAATATACATGATAATGTTTTTTTTTTTATTAATGAATCCGAGTTTAACCAGAATCGGTCGAGTTGTTTTCCAAGTAAGAATGCGGAACATCCATCTCAGGAGTGCGGGTCTTCACAATCACAATGACGACAATCCCGACTACTACGACGAGGAGAAACACAATTCCGGTAATCTTTGGGCACTTGTTAGACATGCATTTGGTATGGTTGCTGGAGCCTACCCTGGCTTGCTTCTGAAAGGATGTAGAACGAAAAGAGATGTTAACCTACAATTCAAAACACAGTGTTGCAGAACAGGCTTCTGCTCAATGGGGAACGTCATGCTTTGAAATCTAGATACGTGTACTTTCTTGTGTATTTATTGGGGCAATTTGTAGATAGTCTTGTAGTTTAATTATGAGAACATGTAGTAAACCGAAACCTGACCCATCCAAGTGGGGCTGGCGGTAGGGTGGGTGCCGGTGTCATTACTAAAACCCCTCGCCCAGGTACATCCGCAATATTGGCCATTGTTCACAGAAATGTAGGGGGAGCAAAAGGAAAAGAAGAAACACATGCATGGGTTATAGCCCCTTAAGATGTAATGTCGCCATTAATGTGCCTAGTGACATACAATGCCAAATTGGGAGACATGTTAACCTCATAGGCGTAGCCAGCGGGGGAGGGGGGGGGGGGATCCCCCAATATTTTATAAAGACTGCCCTTTTCCATTCAAAAGCCCTCTTTGTCATCAGCGCATACCCCCCAATATTGTAAAGAGTGCCCTTCTTTTGTGAAAAAAGTGCCTTTTTTCTGAACAAGTGCCCTTAAAAAACATACCCCCAATCAAAATGACCTCTACGCCACTAAACCTAGATGTAAGTAGGATGCCTCTTGGTACAGCAACCAGAAGTTACAAACTAAATTCCAAAACCACAAACCTTAGTATTGATTACAAGTGTCAAGTGTATCTAGTTAGTTTCATTTGTTATCTTTTTAACGGGGCAGAATGAAACTCACGGCTGGCCTGGGTGCATCGAGACACGCGTCTCTCTCCACGGGAGGATTTCCAACTTCCTGTGCCGCATCCGGTTGAAAGTTCGCGACCGTCTCATCCTCATCACCCGGCAGTGGTTGAAATTGAACGCTCATACTGGAATAGTAGCTCTGTATAAATGTGACAGACACATGGTGATAATTTAGATAAAAGCAATGTACATTACAACCAGGGCCCAATTTCACGGCGCTGCTAAGCACATGATTTTCTGGTAACAAAACCTCAGTCTATTTCATGTAGACTGTCGCTGTAAGCATCGCTGGAAAAACGAGACTGGAAGTTTTTTTTGGATTCTTTACCCCAATTTATTCGCACACCGCTGATGCAGGTGAAACTAAAGAAAAATTCAAAAAGGTAATATTGATATTAATACAATCATAATGCCCCAAAATACGCAATTAAACTAGTCTTGTCTTGATACTGCACCCGTACCGTACCAACACCCCTTCTCAGGGGTCACATGGGCAGGGTTGGTTTTGCGCATTTTGTTGTTTTGCTGTTTATTTGGTCGACTTGGTTTCTTCTTTCTCACAGATGATGCTGCAGTGTGCGTTGATGGCAGATTTGAAACCTGCTTTATCCTAAATTGATGTCATCTCTTTATATTAGGCAGTGAGTATCAGTTCACTAACGTGGGGAAATGATTGATAGTATAACAGCTTTTGTTTGCTTGGATTGGTATGAAGTTATTGGTAGTAGGTGAAGTTTTTCTGGTACTTTACTATGCGTCCCAAATGAGGTTAAATTAAAAACGGCATATTCTATATCACAACATTCGGCACTGCTGTTAAATCTTCCACTAGTGAAGTTTGGTGCTACATGGACCAGTCGGTCACGATTCCTACCGTGGGTCCCATAATAGGTTTGCTATACCTGAAGAAAACTAAGAATTATAGTAACTCACCAGCTGATGTCAAACTTAAAAAATAATGTAAGCTATTTTGTTGTAACTTTTCCTCGGGAAAAACTGCATCACACGTAGTCAAAATAATTTTAGGGAATTCCCGTTAGTACACATCACGGAGCATGTGCGAGTATGCTGCCGCTCTGTACACAGTAAACAAACCAGTGTATTAATGAGAGTCCAAACTACATTCAAGTCAGGGGTTCACTTGTACAATCAATTATATTCCTACTAAATTTAAAACCATAATCATACGCGTAGCCATGATTTTTTTTTTTTCAGTGGGCGGCTCATGTTATGAGGGGCACGTATAGGTCGTATGAAATGGCCGCTTGCATGCAAGCTCTGCACACGTAAAGGGCGGACCCAGACTAGCCCAGGTTGGACGACGTAAAGGGAATTCGAATGGAGTAAAAAGTCATTATATACATTCAGCTTCTGTTTAATTTAATTGACCCACTAATGACATACCGGTACTTTAAAAAGACACTTCCTGAGCAAGCGAAAAATTAGGTCTGTCGGAGCTTGGGGGAACCTATTGTCTGAGTATCACCGGTTGTCCAGTGAAGCTCGGTATAATGATGCACATTTTATGCGCCCCGCGTCAGCCAATCGGAACGGAGTTTTGAAGCTGTGACTGAAGTAAGTTGTCGATCAGAAATGTAAATCTACTACATCATACTCCAAAATGACATTAATTAGCCCCAGGGATGTGACATAAGTTGTAAAATATATTTTATTCCTCGAAGCCATTACTAGTGCTTGGGACTATTTGACGTGCCTACTCACTGACGTGACGTGCGTCTTAGTACGCGTGAGACAGGTCCCCACCTACCCTACACCCGAAGTGTAATAGAGGGACCGGGAACCAGTCTAAGTCGTTCCAGTCAATGAGACACTCGTCCTCTGTTTGTTAATGTTGTTTATCATTTACCAAAGTTCATACCCCCAAAAGCATACAAGTACTTGTACCATCACAATCTATTGATAGAAAGCCATGTTTTGTCCGAGTTATCTCTGTGCAGTGTTTTTTTTGTACTGTTTGTTGTCAGACGTGAATAGACCTTTATCATTATGTTGCCACTATTTCAGTCATGTTCCCTGTATCCAATAACAGTACGGAATGATAATGTTTTTGGTGCAAAAGGAACCAGTCCAATTTTCCTTCCAGCCTCGCCTTTGGTGACGTTGATTTGAATGGGCAAAATCAATATGGCCGCAACATGATAATAGTGTATTGGCCTCGGCCAGTTAGCGTTGACTTGGCGTGCTGAATTGTAGGCCACTTGTCATGAGAAATCCGTATATAAGTAAGACACGCAGAAAACTTATCATCATACGCAACTTTTTTCCTCCGAGATTATAGCGCTGCCTCAGTCAGTCAGTTGATCAGTCAGATAAGTAATAATGGACACTAGACTGGCCCTCTGGGACCAGCTCAAAACAAGTAAAAATGACTTTTGAGGCTTGGGGAGGAGACTACTGGGGTGCTTGAGGGGGAGGAGACTACTGGGCTGCTTGAGGGGGAGGAGACTACTGGGGCGCTTGAGGGGGAGGAGACTACTGGGGCGCTTGAGGGGGAGGTGACTACTGGGGTGCTTGAGGGGAGGAGACTACTGGGGTGCTTGAGGGGGAGGAGACTACTGGGGTGCTTGAGGGGGAGGAGACTACTGAGGTGCTTGAGGGGAGGAGACTACTGGGGCGCTTGAGGGGGAGGAGACTACTGGGCTGCTTGAGGGGGAGGAGACTACTGGGGTGCTTGAGAGGAGGAGACTACTGGGGTGCTTGCGGGGGAGGAGACTACTGGGGTGCTTGAGGGGAGGGGACTACTGGGGCGCTTGAGGGGGAGGAGACTACTGGGGCGCTTGAGGGGGAGGAGACTACTGGGGTGCTTGAGGGGGAGGAGACTACTGGGGTGCTTGAGAGGAGGAGACTACTGGGGTGCTTGCGGGGGAGGAGACTACTGGGGTGCTTGAGGGGAGGGGACTACTGGGGCGCTTGAGGGGGAGGAGACTACTGGGGCGCTTGAGGGGGAGGAGACTACTGGGGTGCTTGAGGGGGAGGAGACTACTGGGGTGCTTGAGGGGAGGGGACTACTGGGGTGCTTGAGGGGAGGAGACTACTGGGGTGCTTGAGGGGGAGGAGATTACTGGGGTGCTTGAGGGGGAAGAGACTACTGGGGTGCTTGAGGGGGAGGAGACTACTGGGGTGCTTGAGGGGAGAGGACTACTGGGGTGCTTGAGGGGAGGGGACTACTGGGGTGCTTGAGGGGGAGGAGACTACTGGGCTGCTTGAGGGGGAGGAGACTACTGGGGTGCTTGAGGGGGAGGAGACTACTGGGCTGCTTGAGGGGGAGGAGACTACTGGGGTGCTTGAGGGGGAGGAGACTACTGGGGTGCTTGAGGGGAGGGGACAACTGGGGTGCTTGAGGGGAGGAGACTACTGAGGTGCTTGAGGGGGAGGAGACTACTGGGGTGCTTGAGGGGGAGGAGACTACTGGGGTGCTTGAGGGGGAGGAGACTACTGGGGTGCTTGAGGGGGAGGAGACTACTGGGGTGCTTGAGGGGGAGGAGACTACTGGGGTGTTTGATGGGGAGGAGACTACTGGGGTGCTTGAGGGGGAGGAGACTACTGGGGTGCTTGAGGGGGAGGAGACTACTGGGGTGCTTGAGGGGGAGGAGACTACTGGGGCGCTTGAGGGGGAGGGGACTACTGGGGTGCTTGAGGGGGAGGAGACTACTGGGGTGCTTGAGGAGGAGGAGACTACTGGGGTGCTTGAGGGAGAGGAGACTTCTTGGGTGCTTGAGGGGGGGGGGGGCTGGGTGCTGTTCCAGCGATCTTTTGCAGATCAAGCAACATCTTGTAATTTTCACTATAAAATGCTATGAAACCTGCATGCATAAAAATATGGGTAATACTCCGGTGAAATATGAAAGATAAACAGTTTTAAAGCAATGAGACCAATTGAAGATGTCATTTTCAATATTTTGTTTTAATTATTTATTTACACCATTGTTCTTTGAATAAGTCATCAACATACATTTCTTTTAATTTTGAGAGTTGTTACATCCGTCATCAAGTCCATGCAAATTAGTCTAGATTAAATGAAATCCGGTTTAAACATAGAAAATACACTACGAACATTGACAATAGGCCTACATGTAACTCGATACATCTTTTCATAAAGTCCATGATACAATCTAAAGCAAGTGTTACACAATGATTTGTTTTCCTACGCAAATTTACAAATGAAGTAACTGTATGTGCCATGTAAATATATATTATTTTGTTTTTGAAATACATACATGTACGCAAAGTCAGTAATACTATTTCAAATGAAAGAATACTGCGCAGAGGTACGTTGAGGAATGTAACTCCTTTTCCCCCAATTAGTTGCTTATTTTGACAAATAATAAATGTTGAAGGCTGCACTCTATTTTTTTTTTAACAAGACAACTAAGGCAAGTCTAGGAAAGCTGGTCACAGAGTGCAAACAATTATTTTCAATGATTCAGAATGGGTTATCAATGGAATACTTTCCATGCATCTGGTCTACGCAATGGGCCAGATTTAGCCCATATATTGGCATTATGGGTTAACCCTATACAATAGCACTGCCCGGCTCTCAAGTGACGGTCGAGTGTGTGTCAGTCACTGAGCCAGTCAGTCAGTCAGAAAAGTCAAACTGGACCCTATGCTGGCCCTCTGAGATCGTGACCAGCCCCCACCCAAAAAGAGCTTCAGGGGGAGGGGACTAATGGGATAGATGGAGGGGGTTCCATTTCATTTTTTTTTGCAAATCAAGAAAAATCTTTTAAGCCTGATTCGATGAAAAATACTCACATAAAAATCTTGGCAATGCCTCAGGGAAATGAGGTACTCAGTTTCAAAGTAATATGACCAATAACATGCTGAAGAGTTCATTTTCAAATTATTTCATTCTCATTATTTATTTACACCATTATTCACTGGATAAGTCATCAACATTATCCTTTTTTTTGTAATTTTGAGAGCTGTTTTAAACAGATCACAAGAGTAACATTAATAAGGCCAACTTGATTTGGTACAAATTCGCCCATCCAGTGAAGATTAAAAATATAAAATAAAAATGCATTTTAATGCAAACTGAAGTTTCAAAGGGCAATTACGTGATTGTATATGATGTTTAAAATTACATATTTAATATTTCAATTTTAAGAAGAAATAAAGAAAAGCGTTTCAGATACATAGACATACACTATAAGTACAATCATTGAAAACAGCGACACAATGTTTTAAGAATAGCATTCAATTAATGACAATAAAGAGCATTCAAAGTAAATTTGACTTTTCTATCATTAATATTACATTCTTTGGCTCCAATAAGTATTTCAATGTAAAGCTTTTTTTTAGTGGTGGATCAAGAGCCGTCTGAGAAAATGGCAGTGAAGAAACTGTTCACAATAAACTTGAAATTAGGAAAAGTCTTAAAATGTAAGAAAGGGCCATCAATGTTCAAGAAATATTTGTACTTATTAAGTTATGAGATGACCTATTTTACGGAGGGCCTCCAGTGTAGATCCACAACTCATATAAAAAAATATATTAAAAGAAGTTGTTTTCACTCTGTATAAAAAAAAAACCAACTTAATTTTTTAACGGCATCTAAAGTTGAACGTCTTCCATAACACTTTGCGTCGAAACTGCAGAGTATTTTCAGTTGGGTTTCTCGTAATAATATTACAGAGAGTATAGACATAAAAAAGACTTAAAAAAACACACACACATTAAACCATACAAAACTAAAACCCTTACACAAAGATAATTGCACACCCCTGCGGGATTGCTAAAAAATGAACTAAATCACTGTCAAGTAGCTCTCCCATAGCATGACTATAAAAACCCTATTTTGCAAAAACTCAAACATTTCTACAAACTTACACTATAACACATAATCCCATGGGCAAAACCCTTTAAAATAACACAAATTCCTGAATTTTTTTTTTATTTTATTTTATCTATTGCACCATATTAACAAGAAAAAGCAAGGAAAACACCCCTAGAAAACTTAAGATCTAAAAAAGAAAAAGAAAAAGAGACCATGGAAGACAGACAAAAAACAACAACAAACGACCGACAAACAGACCCCACCCGACAAACTTAAGACGTGCAACTGGACAAAAAAAACCAGACTCCAGAGAGACAATCCAACAAGAAACAAATGACCCCACAGACAAAAAAAAACACAACCTCCGAAAGGAAACAGACAAGAAGCGAAAACAAAACAAAACAGACAAGATAAAAACAAAAAAAGGAAAAACAACAAACCAACAAACAGACCGACAAACAGTCCGCCCACCCAGCAGACAGACAGACAGAAGACAAACAACCGAACAGAGTTTATCCAGAATCAATCAAGCTGTTTTGCAAACAAGAATGCGGAACATGAGATCTCAGGAATGGCGATCAGAAGACACCCGCGATCTTCAGACTGAGGACAATCACGACTGCGTTGACGAACACAACTACATTATTGTGCAGCAAATCTTGCAATTCTTCCCGCACTTGGAATTCTTCTTGCGTTCACACTTCTTGAATTCCTGGGCATTTGAACAAAAAAGCCAGACGTTAAATTGCATATCAAAATACAATTTTAATACAGGGGCCGGGCAGATCCTGCTTTGGCTAAATGGGCCGGGAGTGTGCTTTAAATCTAGATGCTTTCTCCTACACTGGGGATGAGAGTCTGGTACTGAGTTTATGAGTAGTAGACCGAAACCTGACCCATCCATAGTGGGGTGGGGAGGGGGAGGGGGGGGGGTTGGTTTTACCACTCACACCCAGTAATGAGAAGAGGGGGTGCAAAAGGAAAAGAAGAAAAATATATGGGATTAGCCCCTATAAAAATAAAAATAATCATCTGCCCTCTTAAATGTGCCTATAGTTAATAGATAAGTTGCCAAACTGGGACATGCCAACCTAGATGTAAGTTTGATAGCTCTTGGTACAGTATGCAAGAAGTCAAAAACTAAAATCCAAAACCATAAATCTTATATTGATCACAAATGTATCAATTAGTTTTATCTGTTGTCAACATGTATTTGACATTTTGACGGGACAGAATGAAACTCACGGTGTCCTGCAGAAACTTGATTGTTTCATTATCAGGTTCTCCAATCAGATGATCGATAGCCTTTACAACGAGGTCTTTCATTTCATACTTCTGTTTCCAAAGTTGTTGATTGTGGATGTCGGAAAAGAAGTCCTGTATATAAATGACAGATACACGTGTGTGATAGATAGATGAGCTTATGCAAAGTCTCATCCTGGTTCAAACATGGAGCTATATATCTCCATGGTTCCAATCTAATCAACTTTCGACCCATTAAAGCTATAGTCCCAGCCTCGACTCCAGGGGCGCGTGCTCGTTCCTTACGATCGCGCAAGGCATGATGAGAAACAACATGGCGCTGCAAGATCGTACCCACGGGGCACGAGGTTGCTATAGTCCATCATTTGCATCCATCCGAAAAGTAACTGGCGTAATTATTGTTGAAAAACATACATGGTTGAAAGATAGTAAGTGGACTAAACTCCCTGTGAAATTAGTCTTTCTCGCAAGCTGTCATTTGAAGTAATCAACGAAAGAAGGCCTTTCCAACGGGCAATGGTGCGTAGGAAATTAATTTAGTATCTAGTTCGTTTTGTTTTTTGGCGAAGCGCGCGCAAGCATTGGCACGACGCACACGCGCTCGCGGTTGCTATAATTCGTCGGCAGGGTGACCGTAAGGTCATGACCAAATTCTGCTAAATGCACTTCAAAAATCTGCCAAATTCCCCAGAATTAATCGAAATACACTATAAACACTTAAAATCACTTGCAGATGTAGTAGTATTAACTTAATTAAGGCTCAAATAACATTATAAACAATCTTTTAGTCACATAAAGATGATATGAAATTGCGTTAATTCAGGCAAATCGCAGCGTCGCAACGAAGTCGGGTTCCCAGTGAACCGCAGCACCTAGGCCAGCCATTCTGTCCCATTAATGCAACGTTTGTTTGAACAAATTGAAACTTTTAAAACAAATATACATTTTCTTTTTCAAATTTGCTATGTTTTTCTGTCAAATAACCATTTTTGCAGAATTCTGCCAGAAATCTGCCCAAAAAAATCCATTCTGTCAAATTTTCTGTCAAACTCATTTTTTAACAAGAAATCTGTCAAAGTTAGCCGAAAATCGGCTAAAACGGTGACTATGTTCGTCGGATCAGTGCGCGACATCGCGTATCTAGCTGCAATTCAAAACAATTCAAAACATGATTCGGCAACTTTTGATTTGAAATTGAAATCCTAGAATGCTGTTTTTCTCGGAAATACGGATGACGCTGAGCTGAAACTTCATCAGGTTAGTTGTTCAGTATCCTTCTGAACACGTTTGTTGCTTCAAACGAACAAAATGCACAAATTACAAATGATGGACTAATCTTTAAAACCAAATGCATGCACTTTCTTCAACAAATTCGACTGTTTACCTTCTCCAATTCCTCCATCAGCATCGACAATGCCTCCATTTCTATTGTTCGTTCTACGAAATTATAGGTGTCATCGTTTATGATAAACTCACACGGAGTGACCATATTCATCGGTCGCCAAGGTCGTTTCTCGAAACACCGGCGTCCTATCTAAACTTCGCTATTTTCTTCCACCTTGTACATAAGTTCGCTTTATAACACACTTATCTTGCATTATCTGAATTACTGCAACAAAGTAGGCACGTGCGAGTCTTAACAAACTTCATTCACTTATCACTATCATTCAAAAACAGAACCTGCACCCTTGGCCTTTCACGCCCATGGGATACAGCACCCCTCTTAGCGAAATTTGCACAGTTACTAAGGGAATAAATGTGTGCTCGGGAGGTTTTAATCACTCTGTTTAAGACCGTTTGAAATGGGTAAACTGTCTTAGGTATTTATGAATAGTCAATATCGTGTACTTATGAGTAAGCTTTTTTTAATGAAATGGAGCGAGTAGCAATTAAATTTTTTTTTTCTCAAATTTGGTCAAAGTTTCTTTTTGACTTACCGTGTAGTCCTATTTTAATGCCCTAATAAACCCGGTACCGGTCAGTTCAAGCGGGACAAAGCACTGTGCCAATGATGTGTAAATAAATTATTTAAAAAATATTTATATATAATGCATTATTTATTATATAATTCAGTTTTTCGGCTTATTTAGACTTATTTATATATATATAATGCATTATTTACATATCATAAATTTCTTCTCGGACAATATTTATATGTAAATAATTGTTTGGCAGTTTGCATTATATGTAAATGAATTATTTGCCACTGCATTATTTATATATATATTTTTGGCAACATTTTTATTTAAAAATAATTGTTTGCAAACTATAATCATTTATCATATAATTCATTATTTATTATATAATTCATTTTTTATTATATAATTCATCATTTATTATATGATTGATTGTTTATTATATCATTTTGCGCCACACACATTATTGATAAATAATTGGTTCGGTGCGAAGCGAATGAGGCTGTGATTTATATATAATGGTTTTCAGCAAAATAATGAAACTCGCATGCAAATTACCTACACAAGGACACGCCTATGTTTTAAATATTCAAATCACGTAGCACGCGTCACAAAAACCCCGCACTATAGAAAACATGCAGTATTGTGTATTTTGGGTCTAAATTATTTTTATTTGCGCCACGAAAGGTACAGGAAATGAAAATGTCTCAATTAATGTAATTGGTGAATTCACGTCGATGATTCTTAAAAATCACGGATAATTTATGCACAACGTACGACGGCCATCGATCGCGCAGTATATCGCCTCTGACACTGCACCGTAGCCACCCATGTACAAACATGTACACAAATGTACATGTACCTGCAGTAGCGGCTGCGCGCGGTAGAAGTTTCAGGAAAACACGCTGCTGCTGCGCGAGCGGTACAATCAGTACGTATATACCTCGAAAACCGAACCAAATAAATACTTCAAAATGAAAAAAAGTTTACCATAGAAAATACATACACAAAAAGATAGATCACGTTCTGTGAATCAAATTACATGACTTTTTTGCTCCATCTATTTTTGTTTGGCACTTGGAAGTTGGAACCAAGTTGAATTGGGACCGAGTTGACTAGGACTAAGTTGCTTTCCAGTCCACTCGGTCCCAACTCGGTCCCAGGTCAACTCGGTCCCAAGTCAGTCCTAGGTCATTGTTGTTTCTTTTTCAGTATTTTTTGCCCATAGCATTTGTACACGTTTTTTTTGTTACCGGCACTTTGGGCACTAAAATCAATCCTATTGAGTTTATACTTTAGTGGTGAGTAGACCCTTTTGCTGGTTGTCATCCTTGGCAAATGTCTTGAGGTCGTCCATATAGAAGAGGTGGTTAAGTTTCCCATTCTTCTTCCAAAAGATCAGTCACTTGAATGATTACCAACATTTCGTGATTTCCTCAAAATGACAGCGAGTCAGATGGAGTAATTTCACAGGGTGCTTAGTACCAGTTAGCCCGACTGCGTCTGGCCGTACAGTACTATCGCCAGCTCTGTAGTACGGCCAGACGCTGAATGCTTCCAAAAAGACTGATTTTTTTTGGCCGCTGATGTAGCGATTTCGCTACATCTTTTGATCGAGATTATCTTTTCATGCAGGACAAAAATTTCCACAGTTAAGGTTCTTAGTTGTAGAGCAACTCATACCTTTTCGAAAAAAACGTTCTTTGGTCTCAAGATTTTCATCCATCTGGCCAAAAGACGACTTTCAGTCATCATCTTCCACAAATATCGTCCCGAAAATGCTCCCCCATGCGATTTCAAAATGGCGGCCGCGCTGTAACTCATGAATATGCATGAAAGTCTGTGACGTATGACCTCGTGTTTTTGGACGTGCGTGCGGCGGCGCCGTACGTACATGTACGTACATGTACATTACTTGTAGCCAACAGCCCAGTACGTGCATGCACACCGCCGCGCGGACGTACGTGTGCATGCACACCGCCGCGCGGACGTACGTGTGCATGCACGTACTGGGCTGTTGTCTACAAGTAATGTACATGTACGTACATGTACACTGTCCAAAAACACGAGGTCATACGTCACAGACTTTTCATGCATATTCATGAGTTACAGCGCGGCCGCCATTTTGAAATCGCATGGGGGAGCATTTTCGGGACGATATTTGTGGAAGATGATGACTGAAAGTCGTCTTTTGGCCAGATGGATGAAAATATTGAGACCAAAGAACGTTTTTTCGAAAAGGTATGAGTTGCTCTACGATTAAGAACCTTAACTGTGGAAATGTTTGTCCTGGATGAAAAGATAATCTCGATCAAAAGATGTAGCAAAATCGCTACATCAGCGGCCAAAAAAATTCAGTCTTTTTGGAAGCATTCAGCGTCTGGCCGTACTACAGAGCTTGCGATAGTACTGAACGGCCAGACGCAGTCGGGCTAAGTACCAGTACGGTATATGATCTTTAATCCAAGTAATTAAGCTTCTTGATGATAATTTGGTGGGTTACCTTTTGGAATAAATGCAAATGATTCTATTTAATATTTACCATTTTTTTTTCGAGCTCCGGGATGAGGTCCGAGTCCAGCTCATGTTCGCCAGCGCGTTGGAGGCGCTTTTTGTGCCAGTCGATGGTCCAGACGTATTGGATGATCTCTTTCAAGAAATCAAACGACTTCTCCGTGCTAAAATCTTCACGAATGGCCACACAGATGTATGCGATGCCCTTGCGTACCATCACCAGGTACACGTACCTGTAAGCACAGTCATGTAAGTTCAAATGAGCTTGAGTACATGTACAGCCAGTCTTAGGGCCCTGTCACACTTCTGCGTATCCTAATTCCTTATGAGTTGCGCATTGACTTTTTTTCATACGCAGTCGTACGCACAATACGCACCTCATATGCATCTCTATCGTTTTATGTAAGTTTTATTCACGCAGGCATACGCATGGTACGGCCCAGTAAGCTGGATAGTTTTGGGCATGCACAAAACTACGCTGCGTACGCTGATACGCAGGTCATAAGTTATAAATACGCAGCGCATCGGTCCCGCATCGGTCGAGCGCGGTACGAGTACGCTATGTGTTCGTGAGGGATAAGCCGTTCATACGCGGCAATACGCTGACCTCCTATATTGGACGTATACATAGCGACGTATTGCACGAATTAGTACCGCTCGTCCTGCGAGCGGGCAGCGCATTGTACTTATTCGTAACTTATGAGAAACGCACAGATGGCGAACTTGCGCACTGCATACGCAACTCATACGCATCTCATACGCAGTGGATGTGCTGAATTCGTTACTTGTCGCTAGATGTGCGTCGCACTTATGTCAAAGTAACCAAAAAATTTCGACGTTTTTGATCGTACGGCTGCGTATTGAAAATTGTTGATAAGGAACTCATAAGGAATTGGGATACGCAAAAGTATGACAGGGGCTTTATATCAGCTTTTGATGTGGGGGGGGGGGGGGGGGGGCAACCGCACTCGCAGTCTCGCACATCCGCCACGAAATGTAGACACTTTTTTCTCCGGACATGTGGCCTCCGCAAAATAAAAGGGGGGGGGGGGGGGGGTGGGATGTCACGTACCCATCTTTCGAATGGGAGCGCTATTTAAAACGTACAATTGTCATATGCAGACTGGAAACTATAGGACGATTTTCCCGGCGCGTTGTAATGATTTTGGAGCTTGTTTTCCCCATGTCAGAACTCTGTAACCACTTATGGAAATAATTACTGAAAAAGTACCTTTAAATAAATATGAGACAAATTGTCCACAAATTGCATTCAGTGAAGTGATTGCGATTTACAAAATTGGGTCATGGTTCGTCGCGTATCCGGGAGGCGGGGGTGGGGGGTAGATGCCCCCCTGCCCCCCTCCCCATCTGGATGGCCCAATTTTATAAGTCGCGATCACTTTACTAAAGATGACTTTGTGGACAATTTGTCTCATAAATAAATTTGTCATAAATTTCCTGAGTGCACTTCATCATCATTTTAGTTAGAGCCATTTTTTTCGTGTATTTTTTACCGATCATTCATTCAACTTTTGAAAACCCTATTCACTGGAATTTTAAACCACAAACTATTTCAGGTTCAAATATACAATTTAAAAAGTGGAAAGTCGAATGTTTAGTTAAAAGTGAGTGTTTTTTGTTTTGATCGGTGAGTTTGAACATCTGTACATTATATCTGAAATAAATAAACCATTTTACAGATGAAATCTGACGCATAAATAATAAAGGAATTCAATTTCATTCCTATTAGCGCCGTGCACTACATTGTGTTTATTCATAAAACCATAAGAGTGCCCGGGTGCAAGTTCGGGCGATACAGTGACTAAAGGGCTGGCCGGCCATGCCCGGAGCCACTACGGCCAAATGACACTTGCTGGTTCCAGATTTACAGTAAAGTTTATCTTCAGGTCAAATCACAAATCAATCACAAGTCAATCAAAACTAAAATCACACTTAGTAAGTAACAAGGGGATGAGCAATGATAAAGGAATGCCTTTCCTTTCACTTAAAGAGTTTGCGATGAATTGTGACTGGCTTGTGATGACTTGGGATTTGCTTGCGATAACTCCTGATTGGCTTGTGATGACGTATTAAAAGTCTACTATGGCCTTAGCTGGTTCTTACTCATCTGATTGGTATAACGTTTCGGAGTCAGAATAGAATGATATTTTGGCAGCATGGACCGACACACGCTGGAGAAGTTGTGCCCATCGCTGGCTGAGCGTTCCACCAGGAGGGTAGTCCCCCTAGCTATACAGCTGTACAAGATTGTCATTCTGTCGAAGGGCTCGAAGAGAATGCTGTCTGGCAGCAATCCAGGGGTGCCCCTACAACGTGATGAAAGGGAATGGGTTCAAGTGAAGTATTGGGGAAAAACATTAACAAAAGATACAACATTTCGAGGACAACAAGACAAAATGTATGACTTCATCAAGTGTCCCTATTTGTACAATGTATATTTGAAATACAGAGCAAACATCATAAACAAAACGGTTGGAAATTGCACACATCCATGTATACACTCAATTAAGGTCAGTCACTGGAGCAACATGTACAGAAAAATATTTAGAAAGAACACCACAATTGCAAATTAGCCGAAAATAGTTCTTATATAGGAAATATGTTTTTTTTTCTTTTTAATTTTCAAAACTAACGAATAACCACAGAGAAGGGCAAATAGAAGGAGAGAGCACAAATCAAACTCTAAGGTCCAATGATGACCGCCGCGGTAATGAACAGCGGTGGGCGAACCCACCATAGTTGACATATGTGGACGGTTTAACGCATTCAAATTAACGAACTTTGGCGAACATAATTATGACGTATTCTGTGCTTTTCTTTTCTTATTTGATTGTGGACAATCATTATCATCGTTTAGTCATTCAAATTGAGAAAAAACGCACTGTAATTGGTATATTTTCATATTTTCCTCGAAGTTCACTTTTATTTCAAAATCTCTGTGACTGTAAAATTGAGATGCAAGAAAATAACTGAAATGCGGGATGTGGGATATGCCGTTTTTACCCCCTCGGGGCGCTTCGCCTCGGGTGCTATGCACCACTTTGGTGTTCAAAACGTCATATCCCACATCACAGTATACAAATATAACATGGTTTGAGGGTGGACAGTCGATATTTGCTCCCCAAGGTATTGGAAGTTGACAAACTAGTTCCCGAGGCGAAGCCGAGGGAACTAGTTTTGTCAACTTCCAATACCGAGGGAGCTAATATCGACTGTCCACCCGAAATAAACCATGTTATATTTGTTTTACTATACCTCATACATATTCAGTTGCCGAATTTTGTTTTATTATTATGCACCTAAACAAAATTTTGGGAAACTTGTACAGCTCACCAAAAGATTCAACTTCAATTACTAGTTCGGTTCGTTTGCAATATAATACAGTTACTACAGTTGTAAATACAGTTGTTTTTTTTCAATGTGTACAACTTTCTTTTGTATAGGAGACATCTTTACACGGTCTATACATTTTCTCCAGTACGGCATCATTGAGCTCTGTAAATTAACATTTATGCGAACCGTGCAACCATGCATCTCTCCTGTGCGATGTTCGCGCGTGCGTACTGCACCCATGCGACAGTTCCTCGATTGCTCTGTAAAGCGCATGCGTAGTAGACTGTCGCACGGGTAACCCATGCGACAGTCTACGCATGCGTATTTACAATGTGCGTGAATCCTCGCGCGCGCGTTTGGTAAACAGCAAGAATAACATCTGGCACGTGATGGTGAATTGACCAGTGAACGTTCGGCTCTCGATCATGAATATGTATGAGGTATAGTAACAGTCAATGTTAAATATTCCAAGTTTGGTGCATGCAATGGATCATTCGGTCAAGATTCCGACCACAAAGAGCCACCTGACTATACTTGGACAAATCAGCGACCATAATCTTGACAAATAATAATGCGAGACAGAATGTTGTTTGTGTTTTCTTTTTCATGTTGTTTATTGCCTGTGGGAAAATAAACTGAATTGATTGAGAACTTTCAAAGCCATGACAACTGGGTGCAGGTGCAAAAAAAAAAGGAAACTCACTTTTGGCAGCAATGTTCATAAAATAGAGGAAATTTTCGGGTAACACCATGTGGAAAGAAATCTCTTCTGGGAAGAAGTGTGGTTCTGAAAGGAAGCGGTTGGTTAAGTGTAGAATTCGACGATTTTATCACATCCATCATGCAAAGCTTCAAGTCATATTTAGTAATGTTCATCTATATTTGTAGAGCATCAAAATTCAATTTATTGTTATTAAAATATTGATCATCATATAATATAAGCGCCAAAAATGATTGCAACTGCATATTTTGTCTAATACATAATATTATGGTAGTTAAAGACTTTTCATGTGCCCAACCTGTTTGTCCACGGAGGGCTATATTCCATCTGCTTGACTGAGCTCCAGAGCTTGATTTGAAGACAAAAAAACCACTAGACTAGACTTACCTGTGGACAACAGTGATGTTGGTGACTTGTGTTGAAATTAGCCTAATAACACTATTCTTGCGATTTTTAAAAGTTTTACACTATATTATACAAAAAACAGTTCAAATATTAAAGTAAATAGGTTAAAATTCCTGCCAAAAATGGGTTTCCTTCTTTTTGCACCACCCTTTAGAAACCTAAGAGCTTCATAAAATCGAAATTTACACTTTTTGCGGCATTAGCTTGTGCTGGTAAATCACTGGAGAGAGGGAGACCATGAACCTGTAACTTACACGAACACATTTCACATGCAAACGAAAAGAGATATGTCTTTATTTCACATGTAAATAATACAAAATAGTCCAACATTGATAAAAAAAAATATGGCCGCTGATTTGTCCGGACCCGCTGTTTCTGGGACACACTGTATGGAGACGTAGGGGCCGGCCCAATGAGAGAAAACTACGAATTATGGTTTATACTCACCTGCTGATGTCAAACTCAAATAAAATATAAGCTATTTCCTTGTAATTTTTCTTCGGGAAACACTGCGTCATACGTAGTCAGGTCAAAATAATTACGGAAATTCCTGTATACACGGAGCATGCGCGAGTATGCGTGTCGCTATTTACACAGTAAACAAATCAGTGCATCAATGCGCGTCAAAACTACCTTTACGTCTGGGGTTCACTTGTACAATCAATTATAAGCCTACTAAATTTAAAATAACAATCATACGCCTAGCCAGGATTTTTTTCAGAGGGTGGGCGGGGGATCTGGAGGGAGTGCACTAGCATGTTATGAGGGGCACTTATAAGCCGTATGAGATGGCCGCTTGCATGCAAGCTCTGCACACGTAAAGAGCGGACCCAGACTAGCTCAGGTTGGACGACGTGATAAGAAAGTCATTATATACATTCAGCTTCTGTTTAATGTAATTAACTCACTAATGAGATACTTTAAAAAGACACTTCATGAGCAAGCAAAAAATTAGGTCTGTCGGTGCTGGGGGGGGGGGGGGGGGGGCACCTATGTATAAGTATCACCGGTTGTCCAACGAAGCTCGATAATGATGAACATTTTATGCGACCCCGCGTCAGCCAATCGGAACGGAATTTTGAAGCTGTGAAGTCATGTCGATCAAAAATGTAAATCTACTGCGTCTTACTCCAAAATGACATTAATTAGCCCACAGGGACGTGAAATAAGTTGTAAAATATTTCATTCCTCGAAGCCATTACTAGTACATTCGTGCATGGGCCGGGACTATTTGACGTGCCTACTCACTGACGTGACGTGCGTCTGAGTATATACGCGTGAGACAGGTCACCGCCTACCCTACACCCATGGAGGAATAAGAACACACCGAAGTGTAATAATAGAGGGACCGGGAACCAGTCGTCAATGAGACCATGGAGAAATAACTCATTAGAGAAATACTTTTGGAAAAAAATGGTCCGGTTAACTTATTCCTTATGATGGGACTTGCGGTTTGGCCGAAGTCAATTTAGCGCGATCGGCTGACTGATAAGGTTTACACACAAAACCCCGAGCCGACGAGGTTTTTGTATAGAAGCTGCCGAACCACATTTTGCGAGCCACCATTTCAGTCATGTTCCCTGTATCCAATAACAGTACGGAACGATGTTTTTGGTGCTTAAGGAACCAGTCCAATTTTCCTTCGAGCCTCGCCTTTGGTGACGTTGATTTGAATGGGAAAAATCAAGATGGCCGCAACATGATAATAGTCTATTGGCCTCGGCCAGCCAGCGTTGACTTGGCGTGTTGCAGTTGGAATTGGAGGCCACTTGTCATGAGAAATTCGTATATAGGTAAGACACTCAGAAAACTTATCATCATACGCAATTGTTCTCCTCCGAGATTATAGCACTGCCTCAGTCAGTCAGTTGATCAGTCAGATAAGGAATAATAGACACTAGACTGGTCCTCTGGAACCAGCTCAAAAAAGTAAACCTTTTTGAGGTTGGGGAGGAGACTACTGGGGTGCTTGAGGGGCTTAGGGGGACGGGTTGCTGTTCCAGCGATCTTTTGCAGATCAAGCAACATCTTGCATTTTTTACTAAAGATGCTATGAAAAATGCATGCATAAAAATCTTGGTAATGTTCCGGGGAAATATTAAAGGTAAACAGTTTGAAAGTAATGTGACCAATTGAAGATTTCATTTTCAATAGTTTGTTTTTATTATTTATTTACACCATTGTTCATTGAATAAGTCATCGACATATATTTATTTTTATTTTGAGAGTTGTTACATCCGTCATCAAGTCTATGCAAATTAGTCTAGATTAAATGAAATCCGGCTTAAACATAGAAAATACACTATAAACATTGACACTATGCCTACATGTAACTCGATACATCTTTTCATAATGTCCATAATGCAATTTAAAGCAAGTTTTACATAATTATTTGTCTTCCTACACAAGTTACTTTATAAATGAAGTTACCGTATGTGCCATGTAAATATATATAATTTTGTTTTTGAAATACATACATGTACGCAGAGTCAGTAATTTACTATTTGAAATGAAAGAATACTGAGCAGAGGTACGTTGAGGAATGTAACAAGAAATGAAAGTTCATATTTAGATGCGTTTTATCATTTATACAATGTAACTGCATTTTCAAATGCGGCACCAGATTCTACAATATCAGTCAGTACTTCGACTTTGAATATTGAGTAGGTTTTGAAAGTAGAGTACAAAGAGAGATCACAATAGTTAAGTTAGGCCAACTTGGTACAACTTCGCCCATCCAGTGGAGAAGTTTTCTAAAATAAACATGCATTTTGATGCAAACTGCAGTTTCAAAAGGCAATTACATAATACATGTACATGCTTAAAATTATGTATTTGAATCCTTCATTTTAAAGGAGAAAGAAAACCCCTTACTTACTGAAATTTTGCTAATAAAAAAACATATACATATGCTGATAATACAATAATACATGTACAATATTTTGAAAACATAACACAATTTAAGTAGCATTCAAATTTAAAGCAAGTTTTGCAGATCAAAAATAACAATATACAGTATTCATAATAAATTTGCCTTTTTTTAAACATAAAGATTACATTCTCCCAGTCTGGCTTCATTATTTTTATTTCCATGTACAAATGAAAGCTCATTGTTTTCAGTGATGGATCTAACACCGCCTGGGAAACATTAGTGAAAAAAATAATTATTGACAATAAAGTTAACCCATTAGAGGGCGGTTCTTGGGCGGTTTGGAGAGCTACAGTGACCATTAAGGGTTTGCGTTAAGGAAAGGTCATGAAATGTAAGAAAGGGCCGGCATTGTTTAAGGAAATGTGGTACCTTTATTCTTTTAAGGTGAGTTATTTTACGGCGGGTTAATCCATCACTGTCTATGAAAGAAATTTTTTTTTTTTAAGAATTCATTTTTTTTCTCTTTCTTTTCTTGGATAATTAAATATAAACTTTCTGTGCCTTAAACACGGAACCATTTTTTTTTTATGCGATAACTTTTTATTTGTTTTACTTTTTTGAGGGAATGGGACAAAAACTTCCAAAAAGAAGCAACAGTATGGTACAGGAAAAAAGAACATGCTTGAATTGCTACAAATGTCTGTTCAAGGTGATCTTTGACATTGACAAGTCATTAAATTTTGAAAAAAATCTCAAAGGCACTTACAGATACAAGCATGGTTCTTTATCAATTAAAATAAATTAGGCCTATATGATCTCATCACGTGCTTCTAGTTCCCACACGATATAAGTTTATAGCTCTAATGCGTTCATTACAAATCATGTGATTGGTTTGCATGTATCTTCTATTTAGTTCAAGGAAATTTTCGGACATAATATTTCCTTTCAGATATAACAGAACGACGAATGAGAGTTAAACTGCGTTCAACCACTATATTTCTTATAACTGTCAATTTACAATTGCTGTGCATGCATTTAATATTTGTTTGTGCAGGTATTACACATACAAGTTAAAACAAAGAAACCAAAATGTTCAATAGATTAGACCTTCTTTTGTCAGAAATTAAAATGCTAGGGCTACAACCACCTTTCTAAAAATAACTTGTATTTTTGGGGTTCACGCAAGGCTAATCCTAATCTTTCCCAGGCACATACATGTATCAGATCATGGAATGTTCATTCAATGATATTCAAAGCAGTCAAGATTTTGGCAAGGTTTGGACACAATCCCCGATAACTGATTTCAATAAAAATGGGAGTACACTTCCTTTTTTTAAAAATAATTACTAAATTAAAAGCTGCAGAAATATCCAATTTCACATTTATTAAAATTTGCCTACTTATATCGATAAACAAATGCTATATTCAACTAATTGTTCCCACACTATCGTATGCTTTCCCCTCTGGTTTTTGTTTTCTGAGTATATGAATTTTTTTTTTTTTAATTAAAAAAAAAAAATCCACAATTTTTCTCCTACGTAGTATACAAATTATCTTAACGCTTTTCATTCACCACGTAACCCTTAACTAAGACTCTGAGTATTATTGGCTCACAAATAACAAAAAAATCGGCCCCCCACAAAAAAAATTAATTATGTATACAAAAAATGTTAAACAAAAAAAATTAAAAAGGGCAAAATAGCCACTTCACACAACAGACAACCTAACATAAATTTAAAATGTCAAATTCAAATGCTCACAATTAAATATTGAATTGAATATTTCTCAACGAGGACCATTTAGCACCTTCTGTTTTCCCGTCCAATTTAGAACCAAGAATTTTAATGGGAAGACAATCACGACAGAAAATACAAAGTACAGTCACAACAAAATACATTCAGATTTCAGGACATCAAAGCTTTCAAATTTCTCTTCAAGATCAATTTTGGGGGAAATATCAAGGAGCACTAATCGTTCAATGTATACATGTATTGTGGTAACTGTTCACATTTCTGTGATTTTTAAAAGAAATATTGATCCAATAACGAAAGGCTTAATACTATATAATAGTCAATGTTGGGACAATCTAGGGATGAGATTATCGATTTTTAAAGAAACATAGGTCTGAAAATTGGGTGTAAGGTCTAAAAAATGCATTTCTTTCTATTCTGATAATGTCTTTCTCTCAGATTCAAAAGTCTGACTTAAGACTCAAGTCTGAAAAATCTCCCGCCTGTACAATCTCAGAGAAACCCCCATCAATATCAAAAACTTTTAGGCTAACCGACTGGTCTTGACCACTCCTCAAAAACATACAAATACATTACATTTTACATATACGTCTACTGTAAAGTTGGCCATAGTGTTTTGCACCACGCTAATATACAGCTGTATGTTGTGATGTTGTCTATGATGTCTAGTATTTTCCCCAACGATGAAAAATGCAAAAAAATGCAACCCTAAAACATTTGCCTAAAAAAAAGTGATTGGTGGATTTTTATGTTTTGGGTATCAGATTAAAGCTGAGAGCTTTTTCTTTCAAACACTGAAAAAAATCATGAAAATGTTTCACTGTTTGAAGCATTTGTGTGCAGGATGAAAAATGAAAACCCAATGTGCTATTTTCATGATTGTTTCAGTATTTTAATGAAAAAACTTTCAGCTTTAATCTGATGCCCAAAACATCAAAATCCACAGATCCCTTTTTTTTTTTTTTAAAGGCAAATGTTTTAGGGTTGCATTTTTTTGGGGTCACCCTGTACAGGGAAAATAGGATTTTATGAAAAAAATCTGATATTACAAGAAATGTCATGAATTCAGATAAATATGAAAGTTTTTTACAAACGAATCCGGGCACGTGATCACTGTACACTCATGAGGCCCCCTTCAATGGAGAAACCATTGTGCATGCTATTGTTCAAAGCAACTGCCCAGTGATGGATTATCTGAACAATAGCTAGCACAATGCTCTGGCCATTGAAGGGGGCCTTCGTGATAGAATTGATAGCGTGCCCAAATTGGTCTATACAAAATTCAAATTCTCAGATTTTCAAATTCTGCGCGTAATCGATCATACAAATTTAAAGTCCTTAAATTTCAGAATTCTTGCTTATGTTTGTATTCAGGGGAGAAAGGTGTGTTATGGGAGGCTGGTTGTTACTTTTTATTTAAAGTCCTTAAATTTCAGAATTCTTGCTTATGTTTGTATTCAGGGGAGAAAAATGTGGTATGGGAGACTGGTTGTTACCTTTTAATGCCCTTCAGAAAGGATCCAAGTTTGAACAGGATTGATCGAGCCGTTGCGGCAAGCACAAATGTGGAGCAGTGACATTGGGATATGGCGATCAGAAGACGCCGGCGATCTTCAGGATGATGACAATCAGCACTGCCACGACGATGATGATGACTACAGCCAGGATGATACCCGTCTTGCGGTTCATCCACTTGTACTTGTTGCTGACTCGCTTGGCCGTCTTCTGGAAAGACTGGGCCTGAAGGGCGAGCGAGATTGAACGGAAAGAGATGTTAATGTACAATTCAAAACACAATTTTGGATACAGGGGCGGATCCAGGGTTTGGCTTGGGGGGGGGGGGCAAGTACATGTAGCTGTGAATGTAGAAGATTGAAATCTAGGTGCTTTCTCCTGCATTTGGGGGGATATTCAGAAAGGCTGGTAGTATATGATAGTATATGAGTAGCGGACTAAAACCCAATCTGGGTGGATATTGTTGTGGTGGTGTTTTTTACGTTTTGGCAGCCCAAAGGGAGGGGTTGGGAGCGCTGGGCAGGGGGAGGAACCACTAATAGCCCACGCCCAGGTAGATCCGTCATGCACCGGGGGAAGAGGGTTGGTGGGTGGGGGTGCAAAGGAAAAGAAGAAAAAATGCATGACCTTAGCCCCCACAAAGGAGAATAATCTGCCGCCATAAATATGCCTGGTGAATAGATATATTGCCAAACTGGACGTCTGCCAACCTACATGTAATTCTGATAGCTCAGTTGGTACAGGGCTGGAACAGTAATAGAAGTCAGAAATTAAATATCCAAAGCGGATTTTGGATCTAGCTTTGGGGGAGGGGTTTGACATGAAGGGGGATGGGGATGGTAGGTTGAGCAAAGTAACAAAAGTCAGAAGTCAAATATCCAAAACGGATTTTGGATCTAGCTTTCCGGAAATGGGGGGAAGGGTTTGACATGAAGGGGGAGGGGTGGGCAGGTTGAGCGAAGGTGTCCGCGGAACGCCTTGTTTGGGAGGGTCCTGGGCATCCCCCCCCCCCCCTCTGGAAATTTGTGAAATCTATGATGCTTTCTCCTGCATTCTGAGGCACTGTGACAATAAATTCCGGAATTTTAGCATTCCATTTATCATTTTTGACCCCATTTTACTGGTATCATAACATTAGTCAGCGGCTGAACAACCAGGGGGCTTGCAACCCCCAAACTCCCCCTCTAGATTTGCCACTGGCTTTTAAAATGTATTTTCTTAGTTTCGTTCTGTAACATATTTGATGGGAAAGAACGCAACTCACGCTTGCTTCCAGATCCTCGGTTTTCTGCATGAGGTCATCCAGTTTCTCCCCTCTGCTCAGAACCTTGTCAATGTTCTGGATCATAATGCCTTTGACCTCGTCCACTTGACTCTGAAGGTTATCAATGTTGCTGGCCGACTCCTTCAAGTGGGAGTAGTGGTCCTGCAAAGGAAATATACGTAATAGATATAAACGTGCATACTACATGTGTGAGATAGTTACAAGTGTGTCGAAGCATCAGGAACAGATGCTTCAGCTGGATTATAGCACAAGTGAGGTACGTGTAATCCTAGATGCTTGGAATTTCCCAATACTGGATTTGATTTAATCTCGTTGATAGCATCCTCTGTGCTTTTTACATGACTTTTCCTGGACAAAATTAGGGCTTTCCGTGACCAATGCTGATGCTGTTTTTTGGCATCTTACATGTAGGAGCCTATTTACAACACACTTTGAGATATGGTAGATTAAAATGTCATGTTCCAAACCTGGTGGTCCATGGACGGCTTTATTCCATCTGCCTGAAGCCCGGTTCATACTCGGCGCGAAAGCGAAAGCGAACGTGAATTTGTGACGTCATTGCAGGTATTCGCGCTGTGAATTCGTAAAAGTTGAACACATTTCAACTCGGGCGAAGTTCACAGCGAACGTGCCATGACGTCAAATTCGCTTCGCCTTCGCATTCACGTGGAGTATGAACCAGGCTTTACTGAGCTCCAAAGCTTGATTTGAAGACAAAAAACACAAAAGCCAAATCCAGTCTGGCAGCAATTGAAAAAATATTAGGAGGGTTTAATACCATTTCCTGGCTGAGTACAATACTGAGGTCCCTGTCCAATTCATGTTCGCCGGCGTGCTGGACGCGCTGGTCCAGGCTGGAGGTCGTGACACGTCGGATAATCTCGTCCAAGAACGCATACGACTTCTTCTTGCTGAAATCTTGACTGGTCGCGCAGAGGTAGGTGATGCCGTTACGCACTATCACAGGGAACATATACCTGGGACAAAGCAAGCACAGGTAGACCACAGAACAACTTCAGGAGTTTTCTCGTTAAGTATCACGGATACGTTAAGGAAACTTCCTCTGTAATGAAGTTAGTACCTTCATTGCAGGAAGATTCATGAAAAGTAGATCTAATTTCACTGCCCTGTGGATTACTAAATTGATGTTGTTTGCTATTTCTTGGGTTGGGGAATGGCAAATTCATCCCTGATTCATAACATAAACAGGACAATGAAACAATATTTTGAACCTTTAGAAGAAAGGGAAAAAAAAAATGTACATATTTCATGAATGTGTTTTATCGTCCTTGCAGTAGAGCCATTTGTCTTGTATTTCTTATCCATCTTTTCTCAACTTTAGATTATTTCAAAAACCACATTCATTGGGATTTTGGCTCGTGATGATTTGTGACTGATTGGTGATGATTCATGATTGGCCTGCTATGACTTGTGATTGGCTTGCGATGACTTGTGATTGGCTCACGATGACTTGTGATTGGCTCACGATGACTTGTGATTGGCGTGTGATGATTGTGATGACTTGTGACTGGCTTACAATGACTTACGATTGGCTTGCAATGATTTATGATTGGCTTGCTATGACTTATGACTGGCTTACACTGACTTGTGACTGGCTCGCGCTGACTTGTGACTGGCTTGCGATGACTTGTGATTGGCTTGCGATGATTTGTGATTGGCTTGCGATGACTTATGATTGGCTTGCGATGATATATGATCGGCTTGCAATGGTGTATGATTGGGTTGCGATGGATTGCGATAGGTTGCGATGACTTGTGAATCGCTTGTGATGACTAGTGATTAGCTTGTGATTGTTGTGATTGACTTGTGAGTGACTTGTGATTGGCTTGTGATTGGCTTGTGATTAGCTTGTGATTGACTTGTGAAGACTTCATTATGACCCTAGCGTGTTCTTACTGATCTGACGTGTAGACCACTTTGGAGTCTTTATACGGGATGTTCTGCAGCATGGACCGACACACGCTGGAGAAGTTGTGTTCATAGCTGGCCGAGTTTTCCACCAGGAGGGTAACCCCCCTAGCTATACAGCTGTACAAGATTGTCATTCTGTCGAAGGGCTAGGGTGGATTGTTGTTTGGCTGTAACCTGGGGGTGCTGCTACAGCTTGGAAGGGAAGGGGATCAAGTCAAGTACTGCGGGGGAAAAAAGAAACGAAGGAAACAACAGTTAGGATAACATTTTGAGGATGATGGGGAAAAAACAAATAATTATGGAATTGGGATGAAATCAACATGTGGTTAAAAAGGAACTTTATCAAGTCTCCCTATTTTCTTACAATGTTGTTTAAAAACTTACCTGTAATTTGTGTAAACGGGTCTAGTTAAAGTTGAAATGTTACAGTGACCACAATTTTCTTAAATAAGGTCACTTTCATTAGAGAGCACTCCCCCCTCCCTCCCCCCTCCCCCCCCCCCTCCCCCCGGCACACCCTCACAGTCACCCCCCCCCCTTCTCCTGCATTAACCTCTTTGGATCCGCCTTGATTATTTACTGTTAGTGTTATAATACTATTACTAAACATGCTAAACCAAAAAACTGGTACATTAGTAGTACTAAACCAAACACGTACTACTAGAAAGCCTATTTATACTAAGTTAGTGCAGATAAGTAGGCTGAATTTTTATGATAATAAATAACAAAAATATTAACAACTTCTAAAATGAAAATTGAAATCAAATGTGCACACGAAATTAGAAAATGATGTCCTCTTCTTAAAAATCTTAATTTCAACTAAAAAGTTAAAATATTTTTATATTTTCGTCGATTTTACCTGGATGTCAGTGAATCCTGTCTTCGGAAAACCACGACGCACTTCCAGTGGAAAAGTTAACAATTTTTTGCCAGTTTTCAATGGACTCTATTCTGACGAAAATAAGGTCAAATGTTGTTTCCGCAATTACACATCTTAAGAAACACATCGTCATCATGCAAAACGGGCGTGTGAACCTCGCGTATTTCAGCCGCATGGTGGCGTATGTGGTCGCAGCCATTACGCAGACGAAGTCGGAGATTAAAAAACGGCAAAATTTGTGTAAAAGACAATGGTATGGCTTTCTATTTTATCTGCAATATTAGGCCTCTTGTCATAAAAAGTTCGCGGATATTTTTACATGAATAGAAAGCTGGATAGTGTGACTACCATGTGCAGCAAATTTGAAGTCCGCAGACTAAATATTACTGGAGAAAACTTTGTTTCTGTACATGCAGTATTTCCCTTTTCCTCATCGGCCAGAGTTGACTTGGCGTGCTATAGGCCCCTTGTCACTAGAAATTTCAATTCAATTCAATTCAAATAGAAATTAACATTTATTTACATGCTTTCCACAAGCAATCTAAATTAAATTTGCATATAAAAAGAAGGAAATTATATTTCATTAATTATCATAACGACTGGAGAAAATAAAGTAGGATAAAAACTGAGTATAGGGCTGTTCATAAAAACTGAGGTTTGGAGGTAAGAAATGCTACGGATATAAAACACTCAGAAAACTTTTCATATGATCTTGAAGGAATAAGAAGGATATGTATTATGTATTATGTGGCTATATTATATGCCTACGCGGGCATCGGACACGGGTGAGTCATCCGTGGCTAAATCATCATGGAGCTAAAAAGCACGAACGTGGAAATAATTTTGTTGGAATAAATGTATTGCGCCCTCTTGAGTAACTGTCCAGCCAACACGGGTCTGCCGCGCCGAAAGCGCCTGATACCTGGTACCCACCATCGTGAGTTCATTTTCCAAGCAAAATAAATGAAGAAACCAGCGAAATAACTAACAGACTCTGTGTGTGTTTTGTGGATTTACCTTAACAGGAGAAAAGTCTGCATTTAAGGTGCCTTTTTTTAGTTGTTTTCTTGTCAGTATAAAGTTTATGGAAAGCAACGTTATTTTGGTATTGTTAGTAAGATTGTCTGAGTGTCAGACTTGTAAAATATTTTGTCTTGCAGGCCTTTAAAATAGCCAGTAACCGTACTACGTAGTCCGTCATGTCCGTTTCGCTTGGGCATGTTGGGCCGTTCGTAAACAGACGTGACAAAACAAAAAAGTAACAAAAACAATTAACATGAATAAGTAGGCCTAGGCCTAACATAAGTAAAAGTAGGCCTAGGTCACGTGACTTAGTTAGTCCAGTTGGTTTAACCATGGTTTTTTTCCATGGTTTAACTCTATCTCCATTCTCCATTCAACAACAATAACTAAGCCAGTTCGGTATTCCAGTATGCATATGCATGTGCACATCACAAATTTTTTCTTTCAGCCTTCAAATATTGCCGTGCGTAAAAAAGCATAGGCCTATTATTAGCCTAATTATTAGTCCCAGTAACTTGGACCCAACTTATTGCCTATTTTTAACATTCGGACATGGTCTGGCGACATGTCCGAATGTTAAAAAAGGCGAACATTTATCAAAAAAAGTTTGGACAGCGATGTGTTTTTAATTTTAGGTGTCTTGTGTGTCCAAACTTTTGTGTGAACGAAAGTTCCCAGCTCCTTTTGATAGCACGAAAAATTGCACAGAATGCAGATTCGGTTACCACATACGATTATGAGTCATGGTATTGGTACCCGACTCGATCTTGTCTCTCTCTTATGTCATGCCATGACAATGCGCATGCTCATGACATGACATATTAAGAGGGAGACAAGGTCGAGTCGGGTACCACGACTTGGGAACATGTCGTAAGTAAACCTCAGTACCTCGATCTTAATCATAGATCTCTACTTGTGTCTCAGGTGGTGTATTTAGTAATTCTGTGGCCGATTTGAGGGTGAAATAAGGTGAAATCTGATAGTTTTGTTCAAATAGTTGGGTTAGTTGATTATTTGAAACGCCATGTCTACATTCAACTTGGACCCTATTGCCAGACCATGTCCGAATGTTAAAAAGGTGATAAGTTGGGTCCAAGTTAATCGGACTAGTTGTGCACATGTGCAGTTGGAATACTGAACTGGCTAAAAAACCTTTTTGACATTTTAAAAATGATTGTTGTATCTGTCTTTGCGGTCTTTGGTTTAGAAAGGGTGAAATAAAGGGAATATGTGTTTTTCGATTTCAGTTTTAATCACTTTCAGGCACTTTCATCAACATCATGTGACTTTTCCCGTCATGCCTCAGATGCCCGTAGACAAGAATACACGCAAATTGCTTAGAATAAAAAAAAAATACACAAACAACGTTGTCTATTAACCCTAACCCCTTGGGTATATTTGCTAGAAAGTATCCTGAATCTGCCAAAATCCATCAATTTTGCCATTTCAAAAAATTTTGGTGGCCAGTGAGTCCATCAGAATCCACCAGTTAGCTGGGAGTAAATCTGTTGAGATTCTGAATCCATTGAAGTCCCCCAATTGCTCAGTATGGAGGTATCCTGAATCCATTAAAAATCCTGCAGTACCGTTAGGCTTCGTGTCCTGAATCCATCAATATCCCCCCACTTTTTCAATATGGAGGTATCCTGAATCCGGCAAAATCCCCCGAAACAGGGGTTTGGATTTTGATGGATTCGGGTACGTTAGGGTTAACTATTAACTAATTAAATGGCTGAATCCTCCAACGGAACCATTCACTGCATCATTTTAACTCACTCCTCTCACAGATGCCTACAATAAGGCTGTCCAGCTCAGATGGGGAGATCTTCGAGATGGAGGTGGACATTGCAAAGCAGTCCGTCACAATCAAAACGATGTTAGAAGGTAAGAAAACAAACAAGATGGGTATAGATCGGAGCTTTATGTCTCGGCAGTGGCAGTGCTAACAAGAGAAAAGTTCCTCATAACGCGGAGCCTGCCGGGGCAGCACTACTCGCTGTCCAATTATCATATTGTGTGTTCATTATTGTCACATCCTGTGAAATTACAAATGAAAAAATGAAATGGATTGGACTTTCCGATCGCTAATAGATCTTGGAGTGGATGAGGATGACGACGAGCCCATCCCCCTCCCCAACGTCAACTCGGCCATCTTGAAGAAGGTCATCAAGTGGTGCACCTACCACAAGGAGGACCCCCCGCCACCAGAGGACGACGAGAACAGGGAGAAGAGGACGGATGACCTCTGCGGCTACGACCTGGACTTCCTGAAGGTGGACCAGGGCACGCTATTTGAGCTGATCCTGGTGAGTCTTCCTTGGGTTTTCATCCTTTATTTGTCTCAATTCCATGTCAACTTTTTTTACTGATGGGTTATTGAAGGGTCTGGGTCTGCTTGAAAGTCTGGAATATACTTCCTGTATGTAGTTTTCATCTTTAAAATTATCACACAATAATTCTTCTTTTTTAGGCGGCAAATTATCTGGACATCAAAGGGCTTTTGGATTCCACCTGCAAGACCGTGGCTAACATGATCAAGGGCAAGACCCCCGAGGAGATCAGGAAAACATTCAACATCAAGAACGACTTCAGTCCAGCCGAGGAAGAACAGGTAAGGAAGAGTTTTGGAAATGCGATTAAACTTGTGTTCTTGAGCAAGACACTTTACTACAATTGCCTCGTTCCATCAAGGAGTGTAAATGGGGCAGCTGTGAGGGCAGAGACCAGATTGCGCTGATCTCAATCTGATGCTCAGAAAACTGGTCTTGTGGCTCTGCTAGCCACAGATTTCCGTGCTTACGATCACATTTTGTGCTAATCGCTCTAGCGGAAAAAGTTCTGTGCTGACCCTGTAAGCGCAGAATCCTTACTTACGGGATGTACGCATGTGCAGAAGCCAAAATTCCTCGCTAACCTGTGAAATGTGCTTACCGTAAGCACGGAATTTTCTGTTACAGTAAGCAGTGATTTTTCGCTAATGGTAAGCAGAGCTATGAAATTGGAGCCTGGCCTCATAGCCTGATGAACAGGGGTAATAATTGTGGAGGGCTTTGAGACCTTGGTATAAAGAACCACAATATTATTATTATTATTAATAACCGAATGTGTATAAAGTGGAAGTGCTTGTGTAAGAGGAACACAACCTTTCGCGGATGCAGAACAGAAATGCCATCTGTAATAGTCAACTGCCAAGGGCGTTGTATTTTACAACCGACTTGCTGCAAATCAACAAGTTTTCACATGCCACCTAAGTGCCTTCACATACTGTCTTAAGTAGGCCACATTCTGTGGCCAAAAGTTCTTGCATGGAGCCAGCGGCAGGCTCCAAAACTTTTGTAAAAGCTGAAAGCTTTCTGTCTTCACGTCTTCACTGACAGTATCAACTCAATTTTCTTGTCTTTGCCTTCAGGTCCGGAAGGAAAACAGCTGGTGTGAAGAGAAGTAGAGGACCTCCCATCAGATAAGCCGCCCCTTACCCACGCATCTCTTAGAAAAACTGCCCAACTTCTGTTTTGATAACCAGAGTCAAATTAAAGTGCATCATCAGTTCTTGCGAAATTCTAAGGCAGAAAATACTGCCCTTTTCCAATGGGATCCAAGTTTTGACTCGTATATTGGTGATATCTGTTGTTCACTGACTTCACTCTCCAGAGCCCCATCTTCAAATACACCCAAGAAACGTAATCTTAAAATTGGTTAAATCCTTTCACCGGAAATGTTTGATAAGGGAATAGTTAGCTTTATAGTTCAATTGGCAATTTGATTCTTTCTTGCTTGTAAAGTTTGAAAAAAGGGGATAAAAAGTATTTTAAAAAGTCCAGCATGGATTCATCGATATTTGAGGTTGACTGTACGCTAAATTTATGAGGAACGAGAGACAGAACTTAGGAGAGGACATGGGGACCCAACTTTGACTGAAATCTGCCCCCCCCCCAAAAAAAAAACACTGCGTTGACAACAATTTTAATATTACAGGTCTTAATATCTTAGGATTGTGACATTTTGACCCGGTGCTTTCTGAAAAGGAGAGTTCATTACACAAATGCCTATTAGTAAAACAAGCAATTTATTCTCATACAATGTCTCGGAAAATTACAGGATCTACTTATAAATTGTTCGGTGGTTTTGTGTGTTTGTTTCACTTCAGTAGGTTGTGGGTAGAAACATTCGCGTGGGACCTTGACAATTGATGTCTCCTTTCTGTGACATTTGTAAACCCATTTTAAAAAAAGCACCAAAATTTAAGAAAATAAACCCTCAACTAAAAACCATTATGATTGCCAAGAATTGTTTTGTCATTGGCGTAATAATGAATATTCATCTGCTGTTGGCACCTTTGTTTGATTGATTGTATAAAATTGTAACTTGTTAGCGTTTTGGTATATTTTTTAGAAGTGATGATTTGTTGTTGAAATAATCCTATTTCTGTATTTCCAGAATTTGTCGGCGTACTTTTCGTTTATCTCGATCTATTGCCGACTGTACAACTAATCATTGCATGAGGCTGCACAAGCAAATAGATGTTTTTTTGTGTGTGTAAAATATTGATGGTATTTGTAATCCCTTGTGTTTTGTGAGAGTTGAGCATATTTTTGAAGGTTATTAATAATCCTTTGCATGTGGGTGCAACATGAATATACTACAGCACGATGTTGACAGCCAACTTGGATTGTTCACTTCCCCTGAGTGGACATAGATGAAATATACATATCTTCAAGAGATCTTTAAGATGTACATGCATTATAACAAAAAAAATTGTTCCAAAGTTTAGCCTTAAAAGTTCCTATACAGTATTTTCCCCCAAAATGTGTCTGTTTCAATGTTTTTGAAATAACAAAAAACACGAAGTAAATTTTGGAAATGTTTAATTGTGCAGATACTCCTAATCCTTGGCCTAAACTCGTTTAAGTGTTATTTAATTCCATCACGCCTCACTGCACAATGGTCAATATTGATCACAATATTTCTGGACACTGTGACCAAGTTCCTTGCCTTAATCATTTCAGTGCTCTGTTATGTAAGCTGTGTAAAATCTTTCATGTTATGAAAAAAGGGTCGTGGTTGGGGATTGTAATCATTTGCCCTTGAGCAAAGTCAAGATCTTGAGTAAACTGAGGTCTTGCCATGATGACCGCTAGCCTGGCAAATGATTCCAATCTCCAACTGCAGCCCGTTTTCATAATAAACAGGAAGGATTTTACGCAGCTTAGGCCCCCCCCCCCAAAAAAAGTCTCCGGTTTCTGGTATGCGCGCGCGTCGCCGTAGCCATGCGCGTCGGCAAAATGAAAAAGTTTTTTTTTTCAATGAAAGATGATGTCTCAAAACCGCCAAACTCACTGGTTTGACTGGAATTCTGCTGCGGCGCAATTTCAACGTGTTTTTATATGGGGTTATGATCGAGAATAAGCTTTATGTGGCCACTCTGGACTCCCATATATTTGCACTAAGTTTAGTCGGGCATCATTTGCAGTCATCAGCCGACATTTGAAGCAAAAAAGTCGGGTAAAAAAAAAAAAAAAGCCGCGTCGCCGCACCACTTTTTGGACAAGCTCCATACCAGAAACCGGAGACTTTTTTTTTTTGGCCTTACAAACAAAGTACTGAAATTGATCAACACAAGGAACTTGGTCACAGCGTCCACAAGTTATGTTGTGATCAATCAATTGGCCATTGTGGGTTTAGAGCAAGGATTAGGAGTATCTGCGCAATTAAAAAAGTTCAAAGTTTACTTTGTGGTTTTGTTGTTATTTGAGAAAATATTTAGACGGACATTTGTTGGGGACATGTCATGCGCTCATGCTCCATTTTTCAAAGGAATTAGTAAAGTTCTCCACTGTATTTCTGCATTTCTTATCAACTGCACTGTTAGCAATAACCTAGAATCATCTTGTGTTACTTGGCATTTTTTTCATGTTGCAAATGATTTGCTCCAATTTTCTTTGCCAGTAACCTTCATTTACATCCCATAATATGCAGAAACCATTGTGTACAGACCTGTTTCATAAAATGTGTTGATAATTTTTGAGAATATTGTCAGAGCTAAATATTGCACTTAAGAGTTGCTAAATTTAGGGTGCACGGGTAACTAACTTGTTGGCAGTTATTGTAGCGACAAATTAATTGGTTAAACAAAAATTGATACACGTTTGTAAACATTCATTAGCCTATGTGGAACCAGTATCGGGCTATAAGCCAAATTGCATACCCTTGTATGTTGTGATAATGTTTAGTATTGTTTGCGTAACGGATTTACAACGGTGGGCATTTTCGTGCAGCAAATGAGTGGAACTTTTGTGATTTTGAGTAATGACATAATTGCCAAAGGTTTTAATTCACTGTTGCACGTCTTTAAAGCCAGCACGGATAAGTTTATTATTTAAATGTAATTTTTTTTAAGCAGAGCAGGAAAATACTGAATCCAGATAAATTCAAAACGGTGTAAAAAAAAAAACGGGTTGAAAACGGTCCTCAGAGCAATGTTATGCATAGTTATGGCTTACATATCTTGTTACAATTATGGTGTCATTCTTGGTGCCATATTGAAAAAAAAAATGTACTCTACAAGTTTTTCGTCAGAATCAATTTTTAATTGGTATTAAAGAGGGCCTGCTATTGGTTTGCACCATTCAGTCAGTAGGTGAATGATTGTGTCCATAATCCGAAAACAAAAATGTGGTTTAGTTGTACAAAAATATTGCACCATTCTGGTTTGTGTACTGCATGAATAACATGCTACTCACTTCACAGTTGTGTGGATTAAATAAAAACAAAAAAACAAGCCTAATTTTGTTGTTATTGTGTTCTATTCTTCCCTTATGTTGTACGAAGTAGGCATGATCATAAAAACATTGAACCGTAGTTAATGACAGAGATTTGTGTAAAGACGATTCTAAATTCTAACCACATGTATAGAATATATAGGCCATGTCATCGTTTGAAATGGGGATATTTTAATTAGGCTAAGGGAGAATTTGAAATTGATAAAAAAATCTAAGGGACTTCACTCGCTTCACTAAATTCCCAATAGCCTTTTATACTCATTTCAACCCCTTTTCAGTTAGATTTTCTCATTTCAACCCCTTTTTTTGGTTTTTTGTCAAGAAAAATTCCCTTTTGAAAAATAAACTAGTGCACTGTGCCACGTAAAAAATAGTGCAGGCCACAAAAATGATGACAGAAAATGCAAATATTTCGTCAGTGCAGTGATTTGTGTGAACGCCCACATCTGCTTTTCACTAGTACACATGTATTTCTAAAAGGGTGGCGCTATTGACCTGCTGTACTGTACACATGGAACAAGTGATTTTGCAGTCCGGTACATATCAACCTGGATAAGACAGCCTCGGTACTTACAAACTCGGTACAATATACATTGTGCATTCACTTCGCGTTGCACTGACTATTGTTTTGAACGAGTGCCGAGCAGGTTAGCTTCCACCGTGGTACCGAACTGCTAGGAACCGGATCGGTAGTGCGTACTGTTTACGGATTTACACAGGTTTGACACGTTGCTTCTGAGCTGTAGCTGAGTATCCGAGTGATCGTTGGTCGTCAGCTCGAAGCATTTCTCGGCAGCGAGTGCGGCCCAAATAAGAACTTTGATTCATCACAGATTCCTGGAGCTCGGAGTGTGTTCTGCTCTCAAGATGTGTGGTAAGTCGACCAATGTTCAACTCTTAAAATGGTGTTTTTTTCCTTGATAACTTAGGTTAGGCTAAGTTCCATTCATTGAAATTGTTGTGGGGTACGCTCGGGGGTAAACCCGCTCGGGGCCGTTCACGATCACCGACCGTTGACCGCGTCGTCATGACCGCCCGTTGTCGTGAGATCGATCGTCGATCATTGATGTTCGATGTTTTGAAAATGCACCCAGTTATTTAAATGCAAAATAATTCCGTTTAGGAAACAATGTTCCAACCTGAGTCCACTTTTTTGTTCATAAATAGGGGCCTAAATCATCTCAATGAAAAAAGATCAGTCATTGCAAAAATATTGAGGGAATAAAGACTAAAACATGAATATATCATGGGATCATTGAGAAACATTTCCAATTTTGTTAGGAAACGCTTAAGTTACAAAATGTTCTTGACTCTCCATAAACTTTGAACATGACTGCTGAAGTGGCGTCAGGTTGCAACATTCTTTCCAAAATGTAGGCGTACTTATACCTCCATGAGTAACTCGAGCTGACATGTTTATCAGGAATTCACATGTAACGTTGGAGACAAAACTACATTGTAAAAGTGAGATTGTAACTAGACTAAGCGACCCTAAAAAAACGTCCTCCACAAATTCGTCATTTTCCTCATTTTTTATTGTTCATTTTTATGTTAATGTGGGTAATCGTGTAGAACCCCGTTCCATAAGAGAACGAAAAGACAAGTTCAAAATTTTATGTTTCAAAATACAAACAAGTTTGGAATAATTCAGCCCTAATCTTGTACAATGTGGAAAGAGTTCACTTATTGTTTCAACCAATTTTTCTCCCAATTTTGAACCCAGGAATATTCGCATACATCAACCACTTGGTACCAAAACAGCGTAAGGTTATCTTGGAGACGCTGATCAATGGCCTGAAACGTCTGGAGTACAGGGGCTATGACTCGGCAGGTAATGTAGGCCGGCACCAGACTAATTTCAAATGCCTCAAATAGACTGTTTGAGTAACTTTTTGTAGATGAATCTTTCCATTTTTTAAAAAAAACCAAGTCACATTAAACCTTGTTGGTTGAGTTACATTCATTTTTGGTGTGGTCAACAGTAAAATGTTTGGGCAATACAAACGTGTAAACCAAATAGCAGTTCATAAGTAAAAAAACACCATGTCCATATTTGGCGTCAAACTGTTACTGTGCTCATTAATATTCATATTTAAAAATTTAAAAGGACATTGTTTTTTTCCCTTAAAATTTGAAATTGGCTTCTAAAGTGTCACGGTATTGCCCTTTTGTAATTAAATCATTCATTTCTAATGTCACTTTGTCTGTGTTGCAGATGAAAATATGGACAGTGTTTCACATGGGATGAATTCTGTTCCCAAGACAACATTTGCATAAACATTTTGCATAATTTTATTACTATAAAGTTTTTGCAAGAAATCAATGGCTCATACTAAATGATATGACGCTATTTTTATACAAATATGTTTACAAAGCCCCAAACAGCTGCTTGTGTATCGAACACTGCAAAATCCTGATATTGATTTCGCCAGATGTGTTGGCCATAGTTCCTATTGCCCAATGCAGTTTCGTCATTTTGGGAACATACTGTTTACACATAAACGTGCAAAATATCTCAGTTTTAAAACTGATAATTTTTAGTCAAATTCTAATCAACTTAAAGTGCACATGTATGTAGTTCAGTTTTCAGTGCAGTGAAAAGTAATTTTTCCAAAACGTCTTTTGCACCGAGAATGTTAATTAATTTGGTCATTCTATAAATTTAGGGTCCAAAGTCTGACATTTTCCTGTCCCTGTTACCTTAGTAATTTGTAATTTGCCATTCAAGTATCATTAAGAATGATTTCAAAACAATTTTTTATTTGTTGGGTAAGTAGTTTGCTTTTCATAATTGTTCTTGGTGGACGACTGCATTAAGGAGTGCATCAGAATTATCAAATCATAGATGTCAGATGTAACAGGGACAGGAAAAAAAGTGGACCCAAAATTTATAAAATGGCCTAAGTATAAATCTTATGCACTAGCGCACTGGACCAGAAACCAAATATTTAGGCCTGGCCTTTTTTTTTTGTAAGAATAAAAAAAACAAGGCAAGGTGTGAAATAGAAGAATGGAACGCAAGGGCCAAGGTCGTTCTAGGTGGGATTTGTGACCTTGGTAATCAAAACAAACTGGACCCACACTCAAAACAAATTCTGACAAGAAGTGAAGAGTTGGGCGTACGCAATGAATTTTTTAGTAGGCTGGGTTGTTTTTTTAATTTGTAAATGTGTTTTCATTTCCCTGGGTGTTTTGGCATGTTTTTCTGTCCGAATATTTTGATTTATAAAGAATCAATGTTCACGTTATGCACTGATCTTCACATTTTTGACATTAAACACGTAGTTGTACCGGTATACGTAGTTACAACTTACAAGTAAATATGATAAAGAGAAATATACATTTAAAGGGAAAATACAACATTTGCAAACATCAAAAAATAAAACTACCAAATCATTTTGAAATACCTTGCTGGACTGTTAGTGAATGACAGTGTAAAGCATCCTGTAAAATCATGGCACCTGGTATACTGTCATTTTCAAGAAAAGTGGCATTTTTGTATCAATTTCCAACGCTGGTCGGCCGACCAGCGTTGGAAAAAAACTGGCTTTTTTTCAAATACTGGCCCCAATTGACCATCGCACTTGTTTGCAATCGATTACACACCTATGAACGGGTACAAGCCAGCTAGACTGGTTTCCTGACCTAACAATTCCCCAATGTATGTAAACTTCTCTGTTTCTTCTTATATGGAGTCAGGGAACCAGACTACAGGAAAATGATTGTTTTTCTTGGTTTTTATAGCATTTTCGAACCCAAAACCTCAAAAAAGTCAGTGTAACTATATTTGCTATATATTTCCAACCCCCCAATTCCATCCATTTCTGAAAATTACAGCAAAAGCAAATGATGTATATTCCCTTTAAAACAAAAACATTGCATCTACCGCCTACCGGTATGGCCATGCATAATGATGTCAGAGTTATACATGAACTATGTATGTGTACTGTTAGTGTACAATACAAAGCTGTATTTCAAAACAATTTAGTGAATAATTAGAGATTTAATTACATGTTTTTGTGGGAAAAACTAAATATTGATTTTTAACATCAAAATTGCACATGTACTGCTAGTGTACAATACACAGGAGACATGTATGGTGTTTTAATTTTTTTGGTTTGTCTATTATTTTTTTTGGGGTGGTTAGATTTTCTTTTAAAATTTGCAATTTGTGCTCACCTTTGTTGGAATAAAAGTATTGATTAATTTATTTGTCTTGTTTTGTTAAAGGTGTTGCGATCGAAGGGAGGAACGTCAGCCCTACAGATGATAAGAAGTGCCATACGAGCCGTATCATCAAGAAACAGGGAAAGGTTAAGGCCCTGGAGGAGGAGATCGCCAGTGAGTTTACTATGGCCCACTCTGTCAAAATGAGGAATAGGTTGAAAAATCTTATTTTTAGAAAAGATACAAGTTCATTAGTGCCCCATGAGAAGGCCCAATAGAAGACTCGATGGATCAGTTGGTTGAGTGCTGGTACGCTGTTCTCATGGTCATTGGTTCAGATCCCTCTCCCGTAATTTTGTTGCTCCATAAGGGAGTTTTCTAACTTGGATTCCTGTCAGTCAGTCAGTTTGTTTGATTTTATATACAGTTGAACGCCGCTATAACAAACATCGCGGGATCCACATAAATTGTTTGTACTAGCGTTCATTCGGTATAGCGATTTTAAGCTGCTGGTGCTCCAGTACTCACTTTTCAATAAATAGCGCCCTTCGGAACTTCGCCCTGGTAGTTAAAAACGACTTTGAACACGTGCCTACTTATTGAATTATTTAATTGCTCAGTTTTTGGGCTTACTACCTACAGCAACGGGTGGCTTTCCCCTTCTATTCCTTGGGGAAATAACAGCCACTTGTCACTCTTCTGCTGACGTTTTTAAAACAACAATGTTTAGTATGTTTTGTACTCAAAAATCGGGAGCCAAGCACGATGTTCAGTATAGCTAGATGTTCAGTATAGCGGTGTTCGGTATAACGACCTTCCACTGTAATAAGATGGAATTTTTTTTTTTTTTGCGCCGGGGTGATATAAATCAAATTAGGTTTTGCCCTTTTAAAAAACGTCGGTGAAGGGCAAAACCTAATTTGACTTCCACTGTAGTTTGGGTTACTGTAATGAAGCGTTGATCTTTTTTGAATTTCCTCACTGCCAGTGCAAGAGGATCTGGACTTGGATGTGGAGTTTGACATACACTGCGGCATCGCCCACACTCGCTGGGCGACCCACGGTGTGCCTAATGAGATCAACAGTCATCCCCAGCGGTCCGGAGAAAACAACGGTAAGAATCATCCAACTGTGTGGTTGGCCGAATGGTTTTACCACTACTCAGAATCCAAGTTTGATTTACTTTGAAAAATTTTTCACAACGTTCTGGTGATGGGACCAAAAAGCAATGTGATATAATGTGATGCAACAGGAGCTGTGTGGATGGAAAGTGACGTCATGACGATAGTATACAGATATTGAGTGGCTCAGCGTGGAATGGGAGGAATATTATCGCAAGGTAAAATCTGGACTTTTTTATTTCACGAGACGAAGCCGAGTGAAATGGAAAAGTCCAGATTTTACCGAGCGATAAATATTCCTCCCATTTCACAATTTAAAGCCACTCGTGCCCTTGAGCAAGGCACTTGACCATTATTGCTTCGTCCTTTGGATGTGACGCTAAGCCGGAGGTCCTGTGTGTTGTATAAGGCCTAACGCACGTAAAAGAACCCAGTAACACTTATCGCCTAAGAGAAGGGGTTTGCCCTGGTGTTTCTGGCCTCCTAGTAATACTCCCTTGTGGAAGTCTTTAGAAGAACCAACCAAGTACCAAGTACCAAGTACATTAATTGGCAAATTCTTGTTTCTGTACAATCCCAGAGTTCTTGGTGATTCACAACGGGATCATCACCAACTACAAGGACATCAAGACCTTCCTGCTGAGCAAAGGCTTCACCTTCGAGTCGGACACCGACACCGAAGTCATCGCCAAACTCATCAAGTACATCTACGACACGCGAGAGGACACGCACTTGTCCTTCCGAGAACTGGTGGAAAGTGCCATTGTTCAGCTGGTATGTGGGAAAAAGTTATATGCTTTTTCTTTCCTTTTTGGAATTACCCTCATTATTGTGTCCAAAATCTGAACTCAAAATTCCTGGGGATTTTCGGCTAGAAACACTGCTGAACACAACAACATGTGATGCTTGTCAAAACGACAAGCCCGGCCAGTGCAGCCAAATCCATCAGGTCAAAAATTAGACTAGCACATGAAATAAATTCCATCACCTCTTCAAGGGCGGATCCGGGGGGGGGGGGGGGGGGGGGGGGGGCAACGTGGGCCATTTCCCCCCCCCCAAAAAAAAATGAACCCATTTTTTTTTTTTTTAAGTAACGTCGCAATAAAGGCAGGCAGTACGTACACCACCCTATTTTCCTCAACAAAATTTGGTTAAAGTGGTCAGAAATTGCCTCAGATCGCACCACAGAGCATGTAAAGTCCAAAACATTTTCGTGGCTCTTGAGCGGGCCACAAACCCCACGCCGTATTTTTTTGGACACACTTTTTGCGGCCCCCCAAAAAATTTTGTCCTGAATTCGCCCTTGCTCCTCTTGAAGCGCTCTGTATCCATCTTTTCCACCTGTGTGCATGCAGGAGGGTGCCTTTGCACTGGCTTTCATGAGCACCAACTTCCCTGGCCAGTGTGTGGCCTCGAGGCGGGGTAGCCCCCTGCTCATCGGGATCAAGACCAAACAGAAGCTGAACAGCGACTACGTGCCGATCCTGTACAAAGAGAAAGAACGCAGATGTGAGTAGTAGTGTGTCATCATTGCCCTTTGAACTCTGACCTCTGACCCCAAGATTCACTCCGAGGGGTTTCCCCAAATTGTAGCTCAGTCTCTGAAGTTTGGAAAAACTGCTCAAATTTTGCGGTTAAAAAAAAAGAAGTTTGGTAACTGTTGCAGAGACTTTGCACATGGTGTGTATATTTTGGGATAGACAAGGAATTTGGGTACTCGGATGGTTCTTCTCTTAAATACTTGGCAGGAGAATTTTACAGGAGGCCAGAAACACTTACTAGCGATAAGTTACTGGGTGCTTTTACGTGCATGGCATAACACACAGGACCTACGGCTTTACGTCCCATATGAAGGACGAAGCAATATTGGTTAAGTGCCTTGCTTAAGGGCACCAGTGTCCAGACCCAGGCTCGAACCCACATTCTGCTGCCTCTGAGAAACCAGAGCATGAGTCCGGTGCGCTCTTAACCGCCTAGCCATGACACTCCACGGGTTCTCTTAACTAAATATTCTTTGCTTACAGGGTTAGCAGAAAATTTCTGTGCCGGCGCTCTGCAAATTTCTGTGTTGTGCAGGTACATCAGTTCTTTTTGAACGACTGTTCATGTTGCTGATGGACTGAGAGAATAGGATGCAACAAAGTGCGTGTGCATGCAGTTTCAAGCTAGTTATTTTATATGAAAGGTTCCGTCTCATTCACAGCGACAAATCCAAATCCAGAAACTCTGGAGCGGTCGGCCAGCATGAGTAACTTTGAGATTATGGGCGAGTCCAAGGAGGCCGAGTACTTCTTTGCAAGCGACGCCAGCGCCGTCATCGAGCACACCAACCGAGTCATCTACCTGGAGGACAACGACGTAGCAGCGGTGCAAGACGGATGTGAGTTTCCTCATGGTTCTTATTTATTGCTTTATACCACAGCCTTAAGGAACTTCACAATTATTACCCCTGTTCATCAGGCCATGAGACCAGTTATCTGCAGCAGCATGAGATCAGCACAATCTGGTGGCTACCCTCACAGGTACTCCTTTTTGGAGAGAGGCAATTGTAGTAAAGTGTCTTGCCCAAGAACACAAGCACCGTGTTCCACTTGAGGGTTTGAAACCCACTCACCATCGCACATGAGTCAGACACTGTAACTATTGAACCATGGCACTCCAGGACAATGTACATTTTGCCTGAAATTACCTGGTCTGAAGTTACCATTCTGATACTACCTGGTCTGAAATTACCATTCTGATACTACCTGGTTCGAAATTACCAGTCTGAAAATACCAGTCGAAAATTACCCAGTCTGAAAGTACCCAGTGTGAAGTTAACCATTCTGAAATAACCCATTCTGAAATTACCATTCTGATATTACCGGTTCTGAAATTACCAGGTCTAAAATTAGCATTCAGAAATTACCGGGTCTGAAAAAAAACCTGGTCCGAAATTGCCTGTTATTTGAATGTTGGCACCAAATTTGTGCCAATAAGTCAAAAATATAAAAGTCACTTACTCTTCAAGAAACCATTCATTGCAGTATAGTCTGTAATTACTGTGAGCTTTTCCTGGCAAACATGAAATGCTGCGTTGCAAGCATAGCGCACCCTACACATTGAATATTTTTGATGTCGTATACAGGCCTGTCGATTCACCGAATCAAGAAGGAGGAAGGCGATCTGATGTCCCGCGAGGTACAGACCCTCAAGATGGAGCTCCAGCAGATTATGAAGGGTAAGCTCCCTCAAAATAATGTTAGTTTGTCCATTAATTGTCAGCGTTCCCACAATCATGGAAAAAACCTGGAATTCAGAGCTATCATTGAAAGTCATGGAAAAGTCACAGAATTTTGTTATTTTACAAGGAGCCATGGAAAGTTGATATTCCAAGAAAAAAGTCATGGAAAACTTGTGGAATCCTCTTCAACCCATACTTAATGACAGGGCCATATTAAGTGTTCCGTAGGCCCTAGGCACCAGTGTTCAGTAGGCCCTACTCCGCCCTAGGCACCGGCACCAATATCAAGCCTCGCATTTCATGTTGATGTTAAGCTATGCTAAGCTGTACTAAGCAAGCCAGGCCAAACTGGTAGCTCTAAAAGCCTGTACAATGTATTACTGTATTGGGTTCGCTACCAGTTACTACAATGTATTACACATATTGAGGCTTGCAGTCAGCTATGTACTAGCTAGTTTGAAGCTTTCCCAAAGTCGAAAACGCAGAGAGAGAGATGCTAAAACTTTTCTTGTGTCTGCGTGGGGGTTTGTCTTGGTGCGTGTGTTTTGTGGCACACTGGTATTTTCGTAGGCCCTAAACATTTTTGTAGGCCCAGAATATTTCGTAGGCCCTAGTCACAGTGCCAATTGGATAATCCAGCCTGCATGATGATACATAATATTTAGCTTTGACAGTTTTCCAGTGTCCTTTCCAGTTTTACTATACTTCCTCGTTATGCATGACCTGTGATTGCTTGGTGATGGCTTGTGGTCCATCACAGATACCTTTGACCTCAAAACTGGTGTAAGCTCACACGAAATTATCTCTCTCAATGCAGGGAACTACAACTACTTCATGCAGAAGGAGATATTTGAGCAGCCAGAGAGCGTTATCAACACCATGAGGGGACGACTCAACTTTGATGACCACATAGGTTAGTACCTTCAAATGAAATAGAAATATTTGAAAGATGTTGCTTTTTCGCACAAATTAGTCTTCCAAGACCCCCTTTTAGTGCCAAATTTTCAAAACCATAAAGTCGGGTGAACTTAAAACATACACAATGAAAGCTTGTTTAAAGCTCTTCCTGGTTTTTAATGCGTTGCCTCCCTGATCGTTCAAAACCCACCAAGTTTTTTATTTTTAAAGTTTTTGTGAGATTTAGGACGGGAGATGCCAGTCACTTTAAATTTCATCGGACCCAATTTTCGTAAAAAAATAAAGAGCATTATTAAAAAAATGTACCATTGGGTTGCTGGGCAGTAGTGAATTTTGAGAGGGGAATGGGAAAGTTCTTAGTCAAAATGGTTTAGAGTTTGGCTGAATTAAAGATTCATTTCTGTTTTGACAACCTACACGTTTGTACAGGGAAGTCCACAATGGATTGATTTTGTTGAAATTACATTTGGTTTTCCTTGTGTTTTTTTTTCAGTGAATCTTGGCGGTTTGAAGAACTACCTGTTAGACGTCAATCGCTGCCGTAGACTGATCTTCATCGCCTGTGGAACGAGTTACCACTCGGCCATGGCTGTAAGTGTTAATGACAAGAAGCATTACGATCATCTTTAACTTTATGTCCACTTTGCAAAAAAATATTATGCAGCTGGCAAGAAATACCAGGGCCCTGCTCTTCCCAAAGTTTGTTTGGTTGTTCAGGTGCACTGATACAGTACATAGGACCAAGAGATGTAACGTTCGTGTTTGAAAACAGAGAGGTTGACATGTTTGAAAATTGTGTGTATCAATCTCAGCAAGCTATGAACCCATGGGACATGTTTCTCTTCCAAGTGTAACAAAATCTAAAGCCGGCCTCAGGACGACCTGCGAATTTGCTTGCACCACTACGGAGCCTTCGGCATCAAGCAGAAAAATAATGCTCAGGTCACAAAACTGAGAAATCGTGTGATTGTCGCGGAACACGCCGCAGAAGTTGAAATTTTTCTTCTCTTGCGACTGGGGATTTTTGTGAGCGCCAACTGATGCCGATTGTTATAATATCGTTGAGTTACACTCAGGTCGCACAAAATCGGCAACTGAGATGTTCCCGACGGTTGTAGCTCAGATGCAGCTTGATTCTGAAAAGTCAGTCGCCAACTGATCTGTGTCGTCGCAAGGTCGACCTGAGGCCAGCTTAACAAGTCTACTTACCCAAGACCAGCTTGCTAGCCACCACAGGATCCAACAGTTACACTTCAGTAGGAAGAGCTTTCATTGCATCAGAAGTTGCAATAGAAGTTCATAGTTTGTGGTGTTTTGTTGCTTGACTTTATTTTTCCAGACGCGACAACTCATGGAGGAGTTGACCCAGCTGCCAGTCATGATAGAGCTGTCCAGCGACTTCCTGGATCGTCGCACGCCCATCTTCAGGGACGACGTCTGCTTCTTCATCAGCCAGTCAGGTAAAACTTCCATAAGATTTTTTCAAAAATTGTTTGAAATTTTGCAATTGTGTATTTTTTTGTGAAACTGATTTGAAAAATGTCTATACAACTGAGAAACCAAAATGTGGAACTCTAGTTCATCGCGTCCGTGCAACAAGGTCGTATCTCCTAAAATGGGCCGTACGTGAAACGCGAGTTTCAGAATGTCAAAAGGTCGTATCTCACACAAAGTCAATGGACGTCGAGATACAACCTTGTTGCACGAAGCGTGTTCGCGCGAGATACGTCTTTGTTGCAGAATGGAGTTATGACCTTGTTGCACTGACGTGACGAGTTGCGAAATATTTTTAAAGGTTTTGTGAATATTGAATTGGGTACAGAAAATATCGGTCACGTAATGTCCAGAATTTCTACATTCTAGGTGAGACTGCCGATACTCTGAATGCCCTGCGTTACTGCAAGGGAAACGGCGCCCTCCTGGTAGGAATCACAAACACTGTCGGCAGCACCATCTCTAGGGAGACGCACTGCGGTGTTCACATCAACGCTGGACCTGAAATCGGTGTGGCTAGCACCAAGGTATGACCAAGTCTGTCAAGACAGATAATGAAGAATTATTTCCATCTAATTATTTCTATTTGATCGTAAGGGAATTTTAAGTCGACCACAAGTGAATCACAATTCCATCATAAGCCAATCACAAGTCAATCAGAAGTCAGTCACAAGTCACTCGCAAACCAATCAAAAGCCAATCACAAGTCAATCATAAGTCAATCACAAGTCACTCACAAGAATTAAGATATATATATCTGGATTCTTCAGAACAAGATCTTTCTAGTGGTATATAACGTTTAGGGGTACTGAGTTCAGTAACGCAAATAAAGACCTCCAACTTACTTGAAGTCGTGAAACTGATTCTTGAGAAAATGGCATTTAAATATCCTGCACTGGTGTTAAAATAGGATAAAAATAGGATTTAAAGATGTTTGACAAAACACAAAAATGGGAAAAAGGTAAAACGGAACTTACAGATTAACGTTCACCTGAAAACAAAACAAGATCAACAATTTCCGACTTGAAACTCATTTTGTGGTGACAGGTCACACTTGAACGTACTGTCATATTGCCTATTTCTATCCTTTCTCAAGTCCTTCACTAGCCAAGTCGCAAGTTTTGTTCCAAGTCAGGTCAAAAGTTATAAGGGGACGATCAATGACAAAGGAATGCTTTGGGTCTTGCTTGTGTATTGACTTAAACCACCCTCTCATGTTACCTGTGTTTTGTCTTGTCTGCAGGCTTACACCAGTCAGTTCATCTCCTTGGTCATGTTCGCGCTCATGATGAACCAGGACCGACTGTCTGGAGTAGAGAGGCGAAAGAACATCATTTCAGATCTCAAGAGGTTACCTGGTAGGCTGGAATTTGTTTCTTTCTCTTTTTTCATTCTAGCAATAAATATTGCCGGCTCTCAGACAGTGCATAGTCATGGTTATTCAGTTTGTTGACGAAGGCTAAATCTGCTTTTGAGGTTTCCACTAATTCCAAACTACGCTTCTCTTTCCAACAGATCTGATCAAGGAAGTTCTACAGATGGATGATAAGATCAAGAAGCTCGCTGAGGAGTTGCAAGAAGAGAAGAGCATTCTGCTGATGGGGCGGGGCTTCAACTTTGCCACATGTCTGGAAGGGGCATTGGTAGGTCATGAGGGCGGAGCTTGTTCTTAAGGGGTGGGGCTTCAACTTTGCCACATGTCTGGAAGGGGCATTGGTAGGTCATGGGGGCGGGGCTTGTTCTTAAGGGGTGGGGCTTCAACTTTGCCACATGTCTGGAAAGGGCATTGGTAGGTCATGGGGGCGGGGCTTGTTCTTAAGGGGTGGGGCTTCAACTTTGCCACATGTCTGGAAGGGGCATTGGTAGGTCATGGGGGCGGGGCTTGTTCTTAAGGGGTGGGGCTTCAACTTTGCCACATGTCTGGAAGGGGCGTTGGTAGGTCATGGGGGCGGGGCTTGTTCTTAAGGGGCGGGGCTTCAACTTTGCCACATGTCTGGAAGGGGCGTTGGTAGGTTTTTAGAGGAAAAGTGCTTTTGCTCGTTGGTATCAACATATTACAAGGGTTTGATGGATAGACTCGTTTATGGTCTCTCCATTTATGTTCTGAAAAAAAGTAAGGTTGCAGAAACCAGTTTGGGGAGGGGTTTGCTGAATATTAATATTGTACTTTGCATTTATTTTGTGCATAATGCTTGCAAATAGCTCCCAGCTGATATATTTTGCTTAGCACAATTTTTTCCAGCTTAGCAGCACAATGATATTGTTCCTGAGGTCCCAATTTCATGTAGCCAGCTAAGCAGAAAATAATGCTTAGCAAATTTAAGCGCTCAGCAAAAATCAGCGGGGAACCAGTCACAAGGAATGCACATGGCATGGTATTTTGGCTGGTGACCATTTTTTTGCTAAGCAAATATTTTCTGTGCTTAGCAGATCCATGAAATTGAAAATTTGATGTTTGGATTTGCAGAAAATCAAGGAGTTATGTTACCTGCACTCAGAGGGGATCCTGGCCGGCGAATTAAAGCACGGTCCCCTGGCACTAGTGGACGAAGACATGCCAGTCATACTGATCGCAATGAAAGATGGAACTTACACGGTGAGACCAGGTTTTAAATCCTTTTATTTTGCCGAACCTCAAATAAGAATTAAGTAACCGTGATCCTCTGATATCTTCAAAATGGTCTAAGAGGTTTGGAACTTTTTGGTTGTTAGATAATGATACAGCTGAACCACTATTACCCCAGTTGCTGGCCATTGAGAGTTGGTAGTTACATTGACTTGGAAATGTTTTCTAATTTCCCTTTACAAATTGCAGAAAATGTATATGTATTTAATGGGTTAAAATGAACATTTCTTCAATGTTCAAAATGAGTCCAAGAGAAATTACACTGAAGAAAATCAGATTTACAAAAAAAAAAAAAAAAATCTGAAAGGGTAGAATGTTTTTCTTCTTCATATTTACGACTCTAAAATTTTTTTGTTTAATATTTACGACTCTAAATATTATTTTTGTTTTACAGAAATGCCAGAATGCTCTTCATGAAGTGCTGGCAAGAAAGGTATGTAAAGTATATTTTTTATTTAAAAAATGTTATAATTATTTGTTTCTTACAATATGATATTGTTAAACATATGTGAATTGTAGTTCGGCATTTGCTGAACTCTGACAACTTTTGCCACGAATGATTTTGGTATGCCCATTTATAAAAAAAAAAGGTTTTCCTTTCATACTGAACTGATTAAAAGTGATTGTTCCTTCGTAGTGTCGGCCTATCGTCATCTGCGACAAGAACGACGCGGAGATGCAGCGTATGGCCTCGCGTTCCATCGGAATCCCGGGCTGCGTTGACTGCCTGCAGGGAATCCTGAGCGTCATTCCGCTACAACTGCTAGCATTCCACATCGCCGTGCTGCGCGGATTTGACGTAAGTTTATTAGCCAGTTTCCAAGTATGTGAGTCGTTCTGGCAAAATGAGACGGAACTGGGCACGGGCCGCTGTGGCGAAAACTGACAACAACCGAACGGGGGTGATGATTTTCGATATTCAGATTTATTGATATTTGTAATGTTTGATTTTTCTACTTCACATATTTTAAAAGAAACTATAAAAATCATGAAATAATTTTTTTTTTAAGGCAAGGCAATTGGAATGCTCTCACTTTCACAAGTACAAAACTCGAAACTATAAAGGCCTTTTTCTCCGTGTTTTACATACTTGACACGTCAGTAAATGTGGACTTTAAACGGTCATAACTTTTCAACGGAATGTCCGATTGAGTGCATCAAATAGTATTGTAAGGAGAATTTATTCTCTTTTCCAACAAACCCTCATTTCGACCTCTGCCCAGTTCTGTCTCATATTGCCAGAACGCCTCACAAATGTGGCTCAAATACTGGACTCCTTCTGTGAGCCACACACCGGCGATAGCAACATATCATGTGTCGAAAAGTTGTTTTAAGGAAATCAACTGTTATTTTTTCACTTGACATTCGCTATTGAAGATACTTACCAAGTTAAGAACTAGGGAAAATTAAGAAATCATGGGTGCATGACCCCTGACCTATAGAAAAATACTGAAATCAATTGTGGACAAACTCTGCAAATTATGCCTTAAAATTATAGGATAACTAGACATCTGTTCTCGGTTACTAACCAGGTCAGTCGCTACCATTATGACTATCAAGTAAAAAAAAAAGGGTCCTGATTCTAAATTTCCTCAACAGCTTTCCACACATGTTGCTATCGCCGGCCTGTGGCTCACAATACGGAGGAAGTCCAGTTTTTGGGCCATGTTTATAGGGCTAGCTTCAATAAAGCCATTTGCCAAAACCACACTTCTCGACAGCTGGTATAAAATCGTGAGGCTGGAGCATATTGCCAAATCTGAGTGGGAAACCATGATTTCGTAAACCTTTCATAATTCATGGTCTTCAACAGTAGAGGGCGCTATTCGTTGAAATTCCATTGAAGGTTAAACAAAGTGCACTGCATTTTCTTTTCTTATTTCTCGAGGCCTGTTATGGTACATTTCCCCCAAATCCCCCCAAAATATTTTAGACTCATGAAATACAATTGAAAATGCGAATCAATAAAAATTTCCGTTTGCTTGCTTTTCTCATGGTGTTTTGCATAAAAGGATCATCTTTGACGCGGAGGTGGGTCTCATATCATGTCCTTTATCTAGTTTTATAGTTATCTTTAGAGTCTTAAGAATTTCAAACAACTTTTCACTCAAACCAAATTAGACAAAAAGTTTTCGATTTGCATAGATTTTTTTAAACCTGTATTGGCATCACCAGACCAGTAATTTGTTTGAGAGACACAAAATCTCAAAATAAATAATATGCCTATTTGGCTGGGATTCCTTTCGCCCTGTAAGAAAGGTTCTTGCTCCTCTTTAGACAAATCCGGTGGCAGCCATTTTCTGCGGTGGCGCAAGGCTTGCGCGAGTTGCGCTCAGGTAGTACGCATGCACTCCGGGCTCCGTCGACCAATAGGAATACCAAAATGCGCGTGCGCCTTGTCTTTAAGAACGCGTGCAGTATGCGCGTGAGCATGACACCACCGCAAAAGCTTCTAACCCTGGTCACCGGATTCCTCTATACACAAGATCATGGCTTTTTCGGGGGGAAAACCTTTATCCCGCCATGTCCAGCTTTTGCTTTCTGATGGATTGGGGTTGCTTCCTCTTCGTCACAAAGATCCCAAATTTTTCCTAATACTTCCCATTGCCGTCCGCCAGGGAAAAAAACCCGGCCACCTGGGAGCTTCCTCAATTCAGAACAGCTCATGTGTAGACATGTGCTGTTCTCTCTTTTGATCTCCCTCCCTTCTGCATTTTATGGTCACTGTGCTATGAACTAAACATGCAACATGTACATGTGTATACATGTGTACATTGTACATGTACATCTCCTCTCTTTGGGTCGTAACTCTTCTTTTCAATACCTTAAAACCTTGACCTTTGCTGTGCTGTGCTGTGTGAAAGGTCCCCAAGGTATTCAAAAAGGGAACTTTTAAGTAATGGTCCATCAAAAATATTATTACTTCAAGTCTCCTTCAATAATTTGTTACTTTAACTATTTAATATTCCCTTGCTTATCGGAGCCTTTGATATCAAATTATGCATTCAAGATACATGGCTAGCTTGTGATTCATTCACTACATTATAATGCTGGCATAGTAACAGCCTTAGTGAAGTTGCTATCATGATCAGTAGGTTAGGTAGTGTGGCTGTTCCTGATCCATAGGGAGCAGTTTAATTCTGGCATCAATTGGTCAACCATTACATAGTAGGTAAAGTAGTGTCACTAGTGCGGCTATTCATTAGGAAGAAGTTTACTGCTACTACTACCATCAACTGGCCAGACAGTTGGGCTATTCCTGTTCCATTGGGTGTAGTATGCAACTTTTTCAGCTTGTCAGTCTGGCTATTCCTATTCCACAGGGGTAGTTTACAGCATTCATCAGCTCACCAATCTGGCTATTCCTATTCCACAGGAGTTAGCTTTACAGGTTTCATCAGCTTTTCAGTCTTGCTATTCCCATTCCGTAGGGATTAGTTGTAACTTTCATCAGTCTGTTAGTCTGGCTATTCCTATTCCGGAGGGGTCAGTTTATACGTTTTCATGGGCTTGTCAGTCTGGCTATTCCGTAGGGGTTAGTTTACAACCTTCATCAGCTTGTTAGTCTGGCTCTTCCAATTCCAAAGGGGTTAGTTAACAAGTGCAATCAGCTTCTCAGTCTGGCGATTTCTATTCCATAGAGTTAGTTTACAACCTTCATCAGTTTGTTGGTCTGGCTATTCCTATTGCATAGGGAGCAGTCTAGTAGGAGACATGTGGTACATTTAGTTGCGACACTATAAATTTAATATCTCTTGTTTCAAGTCAGTTATCTATTTTTTTATATCGTACTTTTTTCTAGGTCTTTTTGCATCTTGAAACCCCCCCCCAAAAAAAACAACAACAAAACTAACAAGTTTTAAATAATGTATAACATCAGTTCTAAATTCCTGTTGCTTTTTAAATTTATTCCCCCGCTCTGCAGGTTGATTGCCCTCGTAATTTGGCCAAGTCTGTCACGGTGGAGTGAGGGCGCCAGACGTCGATGCTGTTCTTTATGGGCCAACGGGATCATGTGCAAGTGTTATGGTGACATAAGCTTCCTGACTTTCCCCAATCAAATTTTAAATAGAGAATCATCGTTACAGTAGAGTGTTTTGGGGTTACTGAGTTATTTGCCAAATTTTTTTAAAGGTATTTTGGTGTGTATACCAGCCGGAGAACATTGACAAATGAAAAGTAAACGCTTTAACGATGGATACCGAAATAAATGTGAGATTTAAAAAAAAATTAAGCTTTTTGAAAAATGTCAGTAGTCCAACAGTTCTTCGCTACAACTTTGATCACAATATGTCATTTGTAGCGATTAGGGTATCGGACAAAATAATTCCATTTTCTTCTTTTCTGTTTACCATGGGTGTATGTTTTCTATTCCAAAGATTGTAACAAAACTAAGGTTAGAAACAAGTTTTAGCAGTGAGCGGCTTTGATGCAGGGTGAGTGATTTATAGGGAAATGTACTTAATATTTCTTTGCGTGACTTAAAGGGTATTTTCTGGGCCAGTAATTTCACTATTGTGAGTGGCGGTTTTGACTTCATTTGTATCTGGACATTTGTATGATTTTCAAAACAAGTAGCAAATATGCTATATGACAATACTTAAAGTACTGAAGAATTCTTTGGGATTTTTTTTTTACATAATAAGCTTGGCAGACCTAGGAATTTAATTAATCTCCACAAGTAAAAAACACACACCAACATCTTGATAAAGAGATTCTTGTTATAGGATCAATTAATAAATGGCATTATATATATTTTTTTCTTGTTACTCAAAAAGTATTCCAAGTGTTATTTTACATTCCATGAAGATTTTCACACACGATATGTTAAATCTCATAATTCTAAATTCCAGCGAAGAGATTTCATTAGTTTTAGTAACTTGATGCCACAGCTAAATTCCAAAATAATGAAATATTGTTGTTATTGTTTTTATGCCTTTAAACAAAGACATTGACTGAGTGGAGAACCGTCAACATAGGGCTGGATAGCTCAGTTGGTAGAGCACCGGAACGGCAATCCGGAGGTCGCAGGTTCAAACCCCGCTCCAGTCAATTTCTTTGTTCAAACTTAAAATAATTACAGGGTGACTAAAAAAAAATGAAACCCTAATGTCGGTACCATTTTTTTAAGTAAAGTTCTGCATCTAGCACTTTCAAAATCTAGGATTAAAAAGCCCAATTCATAAGCTTCCGTTTAGTACAAGAATCATTCAAATTACTCATGTACTTTTCAAGTTACGGAATTTTAAACACAGCTGCCGTTTTAAGGTTCTGTCCACGGATCACAAAAAGTTCAGTGTTCTTTCAGCAAAACGAAAACAAATCACCTAAGGATGTGTGTGAATTGTTTTCGTTTTGCTGAAAGAACACACACCTTTTTGTGATCCGTGGACAGAACTTTAAAACGGTGGTTACGTTTAAAACTCTGTAACTTGAAAAGTACATGAGTGATTTGAATGATTCTTGTACATAGCCCTAACAGTCCTGAATCCTCCAATTTTAATACGATTTTGCATACCCCCTAGGGAGTTAGGGTTAAAGAAAGCTTATGAATTGGGCTTTTATTTCCTAGATTTTGAAAGTGCTACATGCAGAACTTCTTTTTTTTACTCACTCTGTATAATGTACCTAGTCAGTTTCCCTAGGTGGTTTCTTTTAAAAAAATATTGTTATTTTCCAATTTATTTATGTTGTCTTTCATGCATGCGAGTAGTAAATGATAGTAGTTAGAACATGTAAAGTTGAGAAATTGTATACTTATATTTTATCGCTTGTGAGCCAGTTTTGTACATAGATTGATTGCATTGAGCAGCCATGTTTGAGGTGTACTTTGTTATGTGAAGTCATTAACAATGAATGCGCAAGGGATATACTCATGCGTATCCCTGTTGAACAAAAGCACAGCCCTCAAACATGGCTGCAATGCAATCTGTCTATACGCATGCTTTGCTATTCATGTACCTATGTACTCTTCCTTGTGTATTGTGTTTTGACATGCTGATTGTCTTACAATGTACATTTCTATTCCTTCTAACAAAATTGTCTTGTGTTTAGAAATAGCTTGACGTTGACGATTTCAGAAATGTTTTAATTTGAATTTTTTGTTGAAATAGGTTTTTGTAGTCCCTAGAATAACCTCATGTTTTATAGAGAGTTAAATAACTTTATTTAAGTAAACAAATGAGTTTTCTTAATCTTTTTGTTTCAAATTTAGGGATTATTTGATGTGCCTTTTTCCATTTTTTTTTTGACCGGCTGACAATTTTGAATATTCATACGCTCTTGGCAAATTTAGACAGTGTTTGGTCACAAAATCGACATTTCCTCTATAGAAGATGTCTTTTATTACTCAACTGTGGTACTTTGTGCTGCCTGATTATCTCTGCCCGATTATCTCGAAGTGCCTTGTTCTTTACAAAGCTAAATTCTTGGCCAAAAAATGATCTCAGCGTTACTGTGATTTGTTTTGGGTCATCACGTTGGTTTTTGTAGATATTGCTTTAGTTACGTTTGGATTTGTCATAGAAAATACTTGATGGCTTCTGTGAAGCACGTTTTAGTGTATATGTACATGGTGAGTCAATAAAAAGGAAACCCAAATGGCAGGAACCAATTTTTTTAATGAAGTTTTACTGAAAGAACACACACCTTTTTTGTGATCCGTGGACAGAACTTTAAAAGTGTGGATGTGTTTAAAATTAACCTAAAATGCACATGAGTGATTTGAATGATTCTTGTACTAAAAGAAAGCTTATTATTTGGACTTTCATATCCTAGATTATGAAAGTGCTGTATGCGGAACTTTATTAAGAAAATGGTCCCGCCATTTGTGTGTGTTTTTTTTTTACTCACCCTGTATGTTTAGTGGTTTAGTTCGATAGCATGACGTCACTTGACATTACCGATTACCACATTAGTCCCAATTTAAATGAAAAAAAATGTTTTTAGGAAGGAAATAACTTTTCCATTCAATGCTTGTTTTGGATTTTTATTTTAGACCAGAATTTTTTTTTTTCAGTCCAATTTTTTGTGTGTGATTGACAGGTATTATATATTCTTGGTCGTAAATTTGTTTTATTTTCAGGTTAAAGGTTAACATTTTAGTAAGCTGGATCAATTTTGTGACTGTTTAAGGACATCGCAAACACCATGATAATGTTATACATAATATGCTGCGATATTTATAAGCATGTATATCTCGAAAATAAATATGTAGGATATTATATCGTACGACTGATATTTGTGTGGTCACAAACTCAATTGGGAAAGAATTTTGCAACCTGACGCTGCTTTTTTTTTTCTTCATATATCATCTCAATGAAGGTCAGTCATTGCAAAATGATGATAAGACATGAATCTGGGACTGAAAATCGTTTCCAATGTTGTTAGGAAATACTTGGGAAAATGTTCTTGACTCTCCATAGACTTTGAACACAACCGCCGAAGTAGCGTCAGGTTGCAACATTTTTTTCCGATGCAATCAGCATGGTATGGGCAGTTTCATGGATACCGCCATCTTTGTGGTCACCGTGGTAATGGGTCATTTCATTGAAAAATACGTCATTGTATGTCATCACGCCATTGTATCATGAGCATGATGGAGCGTATTTTTACTGACGCCTATATCCTGGAAACGGGTATAGATGGGAGCGAACATCCGGGAGCTTCTTAAACGGCTTGTCTAGTTCCTAGACCTATTTACTTAAATCTCAATGGTTCTTGAGTCTGGAGTGTTGAATGGTAATCGTATCAACCGGTGAAACTGGTGTGCAAATGAATAGAAGTTTTCAGAGGCTGACGTAATCTCGCCCAAAGAGGCCAAAATGCATTTCATTTTGTGGGCATTTAGGGTAAGTTTCTTTCTTATGCACTAATCGTGAATTCTGCCTGGGGCTGTATTCCAGCGTGTTTACATTTCATTTACACTGGCGAAGCTACACGATAATGTTTTTGAGGCCTTTTATACTCGTAGTTGTATTATTAGTAACGCTATGGTATTTGCACTTCGAGGTTTCCCGCGAATTTCCTCATGCAGTGTTACCAAGCCTCTTTGTTGAAAAAAAAACCCTTCAAATTCATTCGGTTAGATACTGGTGCTATTACCTAAATAATGCTTGCCGTCGGTTGAGCTTTTTTGGGAACAATTTCAGTGTCATTTAATTTAGTTCGAAATTCAAAAATGGTGGCGTCCGGAAATTGGGCACAAAATCGGCCGAGCATCCGAGTGTTCCCTAACGTGGCGCACTTGAACAAATTTGGGAAATCCCACGTTAACATTTAAGAATTTCTTAAAAGTTGATAAATTTTGATAAAGCATTATTATCTCCACTCACATACCCAATTACAAGTTTTGTCAGAAAATTATTTCCTTATTTTTTGGGCGCACTTCAGTCAAAGAGGCTCAATGTGCACTTCGGAATAAGGTCCATGCATATGACGTCATCAGAGGCTAGAGAGACATAAACAACTTGACCTCACTGAGGTCAAATCTCGCATATATAAGTTTACTGTGGGAAAACGGCCGTGCATTGCCTCTATAGAATCGGAAATTCACGCCCAAAATTGAATTTCTCTGGATTTTTGTAGCGGCTACGTAAACTCAAGATTAATGAACGGGAGTGTCTGGAGCTTGATGGAACTCCACCTACTGAGAAATTTGAGGTAAATATTGCTCTAGCATGACACTAGAGGTGAAAAATCAAAGTGCGCCACGTTAGGGGCCGCGCCAAGTTAGGGTACATCAACAATACAACGTGGCGTCGTGCCATGTGACGCCATGCCGTCAGACTACCGCTGAGCAACCCAAACATTTAACATGTATCGTTTGCATGATATTTGGCCCAGATATTAGACAGTTTCTCTCAACATTTCAAGAGATATACAGGCAGTGCAGATGAGAACGTAATACACCAGATGGTGGACTGTACTTCACCGGAAGAGAGAGAGAGAACCGTTTGTTGAAAGTTGGCAATACGGTGACCCCAACATCCAATATTATTTTGTAAACAATGTAAAGAATGGTCTGTGTAGTTGGGACGGTGTTATAGGACTATAATTGGGACATAAAAACACTACCAGATTCCTCAAACTTACATCAAAGTTCAAGTCACAAGTAACAATTATTTCTTTACATTCTTTAGATAATATCATAAACTGTGTTCATAATATACACCAAACTTACAGGCTGTCTTTCCCTTCCAACCCACATTAGGCTACGTCTCAGCGTCAATTAAATGCACTTAATTTTCACCCATAGATATTTGGCCATTAAGGACGTACATGTTTCATTAGTCCAACAATTTGGAACTCTTAATGCTGTGTACCCAAAACTGAAGGTAATGAAAACATGCAATACAAGAAAGTATAGACTGGCACGTGAAACAACCAGTCCAACACCCCTACTGCATCAATCAACTGTGTCAAAAGAAACATCTGGTACCTAGTCTCTATTTCTAAACATGTATGCATTCTCCCATTATAGTCATGCCACCAGACCACTGATGCCGGGGACAATCTTTTCAAAAAGTCTAGTCTTAGGCTTCAAATGAAATCACTTGGCTTCACTCTCAGGTGAAAAAATGTTGAAGAAAGTGGCCTTTTAAAATTGAATTCAGAGCTCAAACTTGCTGGTGAAATACTGAGGACCTTGTCTTTGCCTCTTGAAACATTTGAAGAATTTTGTTAGCTAA